ACAGTAGTAGAGGAATGGTTTAAACATACTGTAAGACAAACATCGGCATAGCAGAAGTGGGGTCATGAAACATAGTTTTCCCAAAGTTTTGGGTGCAAACATCATTTGATGATGATCATCCTTTCTTCCCCAGTACCTGCGGCATACCTAATAACAATGTTATACCATGTTATAAGATGGTGGTTATTAGGTTGTAATTAAGTAGTAATTGTGTAGTAATTCAGGTGGGTAGCTGCGTCAGCATGCGTAGGCTTCAAAGGAACAAGTAAGAGGTCAACATTTCGTTGTGTTCTCTTTCTTCTTTTTTTCAGCATGGAATAAATCTATTTATTGTGTAGTAATTACTGCTGCACATAAAATTCCAAAGGCAAATGAAAGGAGTTATCATTAATTTTAAAACGCCTAGTTCCAGTACTTGGTTTTGTAACTTTATGGAAAAAAGTGTCACTCCTTGTTGGTTAAATTTGAGTTTGTAATATCATTCCTTCTTGAATTACAATTCAACGATCTATTAACTATCACCTGTTTATTGCTTTCCCTATAGCCACAATAAGTAAAAATGGTTACAAAAGCCAATTTGTTGAAGTGCCTGTAGAATGAGGAACAGAGGTTCCCAAGATGATTTGAATGAAAAAAGTTACATTTCTGTTTTAGGCCCAAAACCTTCAGGGAATATAGATTTCCATCAGTACTGATGATCATTTTTGCTGTGCATAGCCTTGCGGTATCAGATGTATTTTCGGTAGTGTCCCATTTTCATACAAGGACTCATCAGCATGTCCTTCTTCTAAAATGTGTTTACAGGTAATTTGATTTTTGTAGGAAATTTCTGCTTCTTTGTGTGCATCCCTGTGAACTGCGATATAAATGTTAAACAAGACGGGATCATCTAGTGTCCAAATGCCAGGCAGTGTTGTAGAGCATTCATAGGGAAGTTGCAATGTACAGTAGCTGTGTCTGACAGAGGGTATTTGGATTGTGATAAGGTGGGAAGAGTCTTGGGTCTGCCGAAGTATTCAAGCAGAGTTTTAGAAAGGGACTGGATGGTGTGGCTGCTTAATACCAAAAAGTATCACAACACAAAGAATTAGGAGGAGGCTTAGTGAATGGTGGCTCTGTATTCCAGATCGTATTAGAACTGTAAGTCTTAGAGCTCGGCTGGATTAAGCATTTGTCAAATGAAAGTGTTTGAGATCCTTAGAATGAGAAGGGAGAAAACAAAATGGCAAATCCATGGAAAGGGCCCCGTAGCAGGATATATATGCAGAGGAGATGAGAAGAACTCTGCCATGCATTTTGTGTTTTGTAACCTGAACATTTCTTTTTGTATCCAGTTCAACTGTTAGGAGAAGCAAGTGAAAATTCTGAAGTATGTATGCGAGTGTGGTCATTTTTAGAAGTACTTTTAGTCAGCTGCCTGTGTTTTTTAGGACTAAATTAGTTCTCTTCTTGAGCATTGACATTCCTAAAGGAATACATTTATTCATTATATATTTAAAGGAATACACAGAGCACTAAAAAAAACTCTCCTGAAATTTAAAAATTATACTGTATATGGACACTTGACACGCGTTACAGATTCAGAATATTCCAAGTTTAAATTGAGAATATTTATTTATATTTATATACATTCAGGTGCAGACACCTGAAGAAGGCTCCATGACCGAAATGTTGTGTTTTCTTTCTTCTCTTTTCAGCATGGAATAAACCTATTACTTGTTCCTTTGCAGTCTACGCATGCTGACGCAGCTACCCACCAGAATTATGAATATATATTATTTATTTATTAATAGTAAAACTGTTGTACCATGTTTCTATTGGAAAGTTCCATGGTACGTTCATCCTTATTTAGTAGACTTTGTTACATTATACTGGGAATTCCAAAGGAAATTTGATTTAAATTAAAAACAGTTTTTTTTTTGCTTGGACGTGAAGAAAATGAAGAAAGAATGTTCAGGAAAAACCTGTCATATAAGTCATTCAGCCACACTCAAACCCATAAAGACATCTATGCTGCTGTGTTGTGGGCTGCATTTTGGTTTAATACTGCTCTACCATTTAAATGGACACTAACATGCTTAACTGTGGCATTCTGCCACTTTGCCTGGGGATGAAATAGGAGCACTCTGCAGCCTTAAATTAGAAATAAAAGTAGAACAAAGAGCTTTAGAGAATGGAACGGTGTAGGACAGACTTAGACAACGAGAGGGGTCGCCTGTCTACATTGATCTTTTGCCTCTTTACTCTTTCAAAGGATCTACAACTTCTTCTCTTGTTCACCTTTTGGCAACGTTCCTACCCTCACAATTCCTCTGGGAATACAGTCTGTCCCGTGCGTTTGAACCCACTCCCCATCACAATAAACAACACCAGAGCCCTCTCCATTTCCTCACAAGCTCAGCAGCACGCAGGGAGGTCAGAGAGGCCAGCCCAGAGTGGATAACAAAGCCCTGAAAGCACGGCCACTTGAAATTGCCTGACCAGGCTCCTCTGCTTTTCCAAAAGCTCACACTGTTGACTTTACTGTCAGCGGTGCCTGAGATCATTTCAAGCCCTAGAGGTCTTTCGGTGTAGCTCATTAGTCGGGCGCTCGGAATGGAAATGAATCCTCCTGCTGGCACTCCATGAGCTACAACCAGCTTAAATCTTCTCCTTTCTTCCCCTCTCAAAAGTCATTTTTAATAAGACCTATCCAGATATCCCAACTATGTGAATTACATGCACATATCTGATTTTAAAATAGGTTGCAAGTCCAGTTCTGGCAATAATGAGATTTCTCTGACACCTGGTTATACATTTTCATGGATGTCCTTTGTAAGACTGAATCTGTCTTCTGGATTGTTTTGAGGAGGGCTCTGGCATACTTCAGTTATGACTGTGTGCTAGACTGTGTCATTTTTTAATGTCAGTGTTGAACTTCACCAACAGTGAAATGTAGCAATAGTGGTTTACAAACATGGCAGATATTAATGTCTTCACCACAGGTGTCTGTTGAGGATATCTGTGGTGTTCCTTTCGGTATAAGAAATACATTTTTTATGTCAATAAAAACAGAATGAACCTGCAATACTGCCCTAAAACCCATTCCTGCAGAAATAGTTATCCTCTGCTGCTGCTACACATGGAATTCAACTAGAAATGCTTTGAGACCCTTTGACTTTTCATCTGAATTGGGCTTTAATCTTTCCAGCCATCTTTTTGTGTTAAATTTCTAAAATGACTAACAATAAAATACCAACCAACATGAACACGTATAACATTTTACCCATGTGCTGTTGATCCCAATCTTTAAGGGATTTTCTGTTTATTACCCCTCTAAAAACAATTTTAAAAAGAGAAAATGGGTGACACTGGAAGAAACAGCTAATTTCAGACAAACCAAGCAATTTCTTCTGGGTTTTGTTGAAATATATTCCTACTAATTATTTGACATAGGAGCTCAAGGATCACTGGATTTCCAATCCTGGTGTGGATATCCTCTTCCTCCTGCTTCTGTGTGGAAAAACAGAATTACTGCACATAATTAATTCACCCAAATGTAATCTAATTTAAAGAAAATGTTCTTATGGAAAATTCATAAGGCTAGTACAAATTTAAAAAAAATTCCGTACAACATAAAGCTAAAACCTTTTTATTTTAATTTTAAAATATTTATTGGATAACATCACCAAATTACAACCATAACAAAACATCCATTTGTCCTCCACTTACATGAAACAATTAAATTGTCAGATCTAGGTTGTATCCACTCTAAGTCAGTTTTTAATGTTCTGCGGCTCCGGACTACTTTGTTTAATCTTTCATTCAATTGCAGTTGTTTCATTCTGCTCTTTCCAAGCCACAAACTTGGCAGAAAGCTAATCGAAGCAGCAAGTGAGGATCATTTCATCTTGTAAATAAAACAGGAAAAAATACATATGTTTTCACCAACCAGTTTTTCCTTTAACTTGTTTTCTGCCGGTCTCTTTATGACTAAAACAAAATCCAGAAAAAAAAAACTGAAGCCCAGACACGGATACAGATATGCCCCCATGAGGAACATCCATCCCTCCCCCCTTCCTGTCTGCCCCACATTAACCCTAACAATACCCCCCCTCTCTGTGCTTCCAGACCGTGCTTCACCTGTAGTAATGACTTCTTGAGCACCCAGCCAGATGATCTGGGTCAATGGGGCCCCTACTGCAGGTGGGCGAGTCTGGGCCGAAGTGTGCCACCCGCCTCTGAAAGACTGGAGCTCTGAATGAGCGCGAGGAGATCAATGAGAGCCCCAGAAAATCCCATTACATCCCATTCGCAGGCTGCCTTGGCTTAGACCTTTGACTGCCATCCTCCCTGAGGCAACATCTCTCTCTTTGTGCACCTTGTCTTTTTCTTAGATTTTATCACATTAGTTCCAGGGGAAGCTGGAAGTCTGGAATAATTACGGGCCTGTGACAGCGGTGGTGCAGAGGGGCCGAGTGGGGCAAAGGTGGACGGCTGGCTGGGCAGGGAAGCGGGGGAGGTGGGGGTCGAGGGGTGGGAGTGTGGAGGAGACGATGAAACGTTTCCTTTTTTTCCCCCCTGCTCCATATCCTTACATGCTAAACATTTCGTCTTGTGCTGCTGAATAAACTCCTCCGTTACGTTGAACTAGATTGAAAACAGAACCAGGAAAGAGCATTTGCTTTTTTTTAGTTCATTTAAAAAAGTTTGTAAAACTGGATTGTAAAAAAAAAAAGAACAAATGAAATAAATGGACATAGAAGTCTAATATAGGATATCATCCCAACTCAACATTCATCAAAATTTTCCTAAATACTGTAATTCACAGATGTTTATAGTTTGCATGTTCTCTTAGTTTGAAAGAAAATAAGACATACATTTAGCTTTAACATTATCTAACAAGATCTTTCATACCATAGCATGGCTTGAGACATCATGGAAAGTACAAGTTAAATGAACTTGGGATCAGTTTGCTCCTACGTTTATTACAAATCAGTAAAAGGACAACATGCACCTAGAGTTTTCTGTGAGGTTTACAATCACTAAAGTAAGTCACATGGACCAAAGATCAATAAGCTGAATGATCAGTCTGCTTGAATCTGAAGGCATTTTATTCTTATTCATGGATTTGATGTAGTACCTTTCCATTGGAATGGCTTCCTTTTTCATTATGCATGGGCCAGATGAGCTCATTCACTTATAGATTGATCTTTCTGTGGCGGTGTTGGGTGTAGTGGGCGTTCATCATCCGGATCTGTCAGTGAGTGGCAAGCCTTGGCTTCAGCCTGAGCCTTTTAGACTGAGAAATGAGAAAATGATTAACAAACCTGTCAATACTTTCAGTGCCGTTAAACACGATGACCGTTCTCATGCTAATGGCTAAAAAGCAGGCACGGGCCCACATTTTCAAGGCACTGGCTTTGAAAATTTCAAAGGTTATTTAATGCTTTATTCATTAGACCTTCCACTATGTTGTTATTTGTTGTGAATACTTTGAATCTTAATGATAAGCTCCTATATTCATTTAACACACTCTTCACTGGCCCATATGTCGATATTTCCAGAAACATACTAGACAGACTGCTGTAGAGCTGTAAAGTGTAGTTTTGGGATATTATGGTAAAATAATGAAAGAAACCACCTGCCTCAAAACCTTTTTGTCTTTACATTAAATTCTACCCATCAAAGAAAATTACAGTATTGTAGCAACTTGAGTAGATGTGTATGAATGCTGGTATGAAAATTGATCCTAATGTTAACTAAGATAAGAGATGATTAATGAGTCACAACAAGGATTTATTTTACCTTAGTGTACACACATGCACATTTTGCCTAGGTTTCAGTATTAAATATCTGACCAAGTTTATTTGACACTTGGATGCATTTCTTGCATTCTGTCCAGTCAAAAAGAATTGATTCCTTTTGTGAACTGAGAGCAAATAAGTAATAAAGAAACGGTTCTCAATCTTTTGTGCCCATCAAAGTGTTAGTATCTCCATGAAATATCCATTCCCCCAGTATTTCCTCCCTCATTCCCTTAGCCATGTAGACACGGAGAAGGGTCAGACAATATTTAAGCCTGTCTGAATCTACCGTAATGTACACAGTTTCTCACGTGCAACCCAATACGTGTGAATCAGCCCTTGAATGTGTTGCCCCTGTTATGGAGGGCTGGTCTGGTGCCACCCTCAGACAGTTTCATTGTTCGTACTCGGAGGCAAAGATTATGTGGTTGCAATTAAAAAAAAAAGAGCTTGCAGAAAAAGAAAAAAAAATCCTAATGGTCTTTATATTGCTCGATGCGGTTTTACGCATTAAAGAACACTTTGGTTAAACCCGTCAGGTTTTGGAGTCACCTGGTGTCCTTGCCACCCAGCATGACACGCTTTCATCTTTTGTGTCAGAGTGGGAATGGGCGGCGTTTTTTGCAATGCAGCTGGTTTAGCCTGCCTGTTCCCAAACCACCCCTCAGCACCCACCCCCCCTCTCCCCACCTCTCCAGCACAGAGCATCATTATTGGGCCACCTTGCTGCTGTTTGATTTTAGGTTATGGACATTTGTTCCTTTTGGAAAAAAATAAAATCCATACCCTCCAGTATTTCTATTCTTCTTAACAATTTCCCTGAACTTTATGGGAATCAAATGTGTACAATACAACCACCAGACCTTGGGTGACCTTTAAGGAACACAAATACGGAAGATTAGGGGTCAAAATGCAAACTGGTCCAGTCTGTGTTCTGACAGAGAATGAAATGACAGTTCCTGGGATCTCAGGGATCTGATCGTTCCTTCTGCAAGTAGCATTATCAGTCGACTTGGATCGACGTGAAAGGTGGCCCCAGGAAAATGTGACAGCCCTGTGCCTTTGAATGGAAGCACTCTGTACTTGTAGCGAGGATGCTGGGATTTCATCCTCTCTTTGAGGCAAGCTGGGCCCTTCCTTTCTGGCCCTCTCGTGATGGGGATGAGAGGACGGGGAGCAGTAAATGAGCTGTTTATCTAGCCATCATTGTTCTCCATTGAGTCTCAGAGAAGCAAGGTAAACAAGCTCCAAACAAAGGCGGTGCTTCACAGTGATAAACGCCCAGCAGGAGCCCAGTGTTCTGTGGCACAGTGACAGTGGCAGTCCTCGCTTTGAACCAAACACCGATACGTCACGCTCACCTATTCCCCCATTCAGCCATGACAAAACGGCTACCACAGTGGAGTGGCCTTTTCAACGTCCCCGTTTCAGCGCGTCAGACTCCTCGCTTCTGCCCCTCCGTAAAATAAAATATGGACTAAAATGAAATTAAACTAAATGCAACAAATCCACACCAGCAATGCTTCCACAGCCTGAAGACCTTAGACTTCAAAATGCAGCTGCATAAGAACAGGTTGCATTTAGGATATGAACATTCTTGTGTGGTTCTGTAAACTAGGCTTTTTATTTTTCACAGTAACTCACAATGTCAGGAGTGTTTGCTGACATCGTGTTAAAGGTAAAATATGTAATACTATAACAGGATTTAAAATCTGTGGTTTTCCTCAGGAAATATGTATACATTGGTGAGAACTGTACAGAACTATAATTAATGATATTACTTTTCTTATTTTAATTACATTTGTTTTTAATGGGGTATGTTTGTAAAACCTTTAAACTCAGTTGTACATGCAAGACAATATGTAATTCAACTTTTTTGTGGGGCATAGTTACAGTTCACCTCCAATTAGGATCAGGATCTTATTTTGCATTAGTGTATGCTTTCTCATATATCAGGGTTACGTATATTGTGTTTTATTAAAATGATTACAATAAAAAGTACTTTGTTGTAAAGATAAAGGTGTTTAAATTCCTCGGTAGCTGGGTTCTACAGACCCCTGATGTATCACCTAAATTAAGTGGCGCCATCTGCTGACCTTATCACATATAACTACTATTGGCTATTTAAAATTAAAATTAAACTATGAATAACTTTATTTTAAAATAACAAGTGAAAATATATTTTTAATAAGTAGTAAATAAACTAAAATACACATTTATTATTTTAAAAAGATATTGGAAGCTATCATCTATTTTATCATGTTTATATTCCTTATAAAGACCTATATTATTACATCAGTCAGTATACAATTTTAAGAATGAGAAGCTCCTCATAGTGAACAAATCACAAATGAAAATAAATCATTGACAAAAATGGAAAAATAAAAAAGAAAAGCATAGGTATTTGTTGGTAATCAAAATGAGGTCAAATTAGTTTGTTTCCTTTTGCTTTCGAAATATCTTTCCATTCATTTTCATTCTTGAATGTTATTTAAATGGTGCTGAGAGTTTGGCCTTTAGTGCGTTTCACGCTCTTGAAAAGAAATAAACAGGAGAAAGGGAGAAAAGGTAGTGATAAAACCTGAGCTTTATCTTGAATATACAATTGCTTATGTTTTTGAAAGCCGTTCACAGATGGCACAACGAAATAGTCAAAAAACGCTTTCAATGTTTTTACAAAGCAATCTAATTGAGAACAAACTGGCATTGAATTATAAAAGACCATGACCACGGACTGCTCTGGGATGCAATGGATTTTCTTATAAATTTCCCTGACCACATTAATGATAACACACTCCCCTCTTCTTTGTGTGACATGAAAGTTAGATGAGGCACAGCCTTGGAAGACAAATGGAAAAATATCTGCTTTTAACACACTAGGTTCAGAGAAAAAACAGCTTCTTTTTTTTAACGCCCCCAGCTCTGAAGCAAGTTTAAGTAAAAGTTGTATTGTTTTCTGCTTTAATGGATTACAAAAATGTGTTTTTTTTACAACAGTTTGTTAGTTGTAATATTTTAGCCATTAAATCACTGTCATGGCAGTGTGAGAGTTCACTCTTTTTCTTTATGGAAATTAAACTGGAAGTGCTTGTTCATATGCAGGTGACAACAGGTGACTTCAACTGAAATTTCTTCTAATTCCTTTTCCATGAGTTCACAAAACGCAACTTTTAACTCAAGCATTGTTGTTTTTTATTGCAATTCAGCAATGTTATTTGTATGTGTTTAAACTGGTTCAAATATTGTACAATTTGAAACCCCTTTACAGCGTTCCACAGTGTAAAAATTACTCCAGCATGCTGGGTCAACTCTCCTAGGTTCTTCAGGGTGAGAGATCCCTTGCTAGGCTCCTACAGTATTCATGCCAACAGGATGGGTGTAAATTAAGATAATAGTATAATCTCAAGTCCTAAGGTCTTTAGCACTTTCCAGTCAGTTGCCTTTGCTAAAATTAACAGACGGGTGTTTAAGAATGTAGAAATGGTAAAAGAAACATTGGAAGGGGTTGCAGCACTGTGTTAGAGTCAATTAGATGTGTGAAAAAGCCATGTTGATCAAAACCAGCACCTGTAGACACTGATGGTAGAACTATCCCCTTAAAAAGGTGATACGTACACTAAAGATACACTACCTTTGTCTGCACGTGTAAAGAAATTGAAGAGGAGCATGTTATTCATCTGTTTTTTATTCACTTATAGTGGTGGGAATTGTGGAAAAAGGCAAAATAAAATGTGCATTGTATAGGGTGCCTTACTGTGATACCATGTTAATCTTTTCCCTATTCGTAACCTCTTCTAACTGTTATTGGACATAAAGGTCTGAGAGAATAACAAAACAGTTAAGTATTGTGATATTTAGCATTTCTTACTTTCACATCACTATTGGCGAGTTTCTCTTCCAGATCTGGTCAAAGTGTCGTCTTCAAATTCATTCATTGCGTCAGGGAATTTTGTTTCTCTTGCACAGCAGAACTACTTTGAACTCTGTGACAGGAAGACTTGCTTATTGTGCAAATTTATTTTGCAAATGAGGTCATTTCTTCTTCAGTATCGTCTCAGGCTGTATAGTTGGGGATCCCGCAGTAGCTATTTATGGGAAATATAATCACATCTCTATTTTTAAAGACTTTGAGACTTTTTTAAATGTAACTGAAAGCTCTTGTTTTTAATATTAATACTTCTAAAAGGTTATTGTTAAATTACAAAAAAAAAAGACATAGCAAATTTAGATTTAGAAAAGTATTTATTTGGTTTTCACATCTGTGTTTTGCTGCCTGACCAGGGGAATACCATAAAATCCCAAAACATATACTATATGTCTAAGAATCATTTATTAATGTGCACCACAAACTTTCACAAGAGCATTAAAATGTCCAAGTACAGATCATGAAGTAGTCAAAATAAACTTCAAATAGTTACCTGTTCTTCAAGGAGAGGCATTGCTAAAATATTTCATCAGAATACCTCGAAACCATTTTTCAAGCCACCTGGAGTCAAAAGAAGTCATAAAAGTCAAAAGGCTTGTACCAGAAACATAGGTTTTTCAATAGCGAGTAAATCATGGTACATAAGTTGTAAAATGTAATAATACGTGTAATGCTTGTAACATGATTTAATTCAGACAAAAAATATCCCCCAAAATTTGTGTTGAGAAGACGATTTCAAGATTTATATAAGATCACTTATATATTAACCCTTTACAATCTGCCAGTAGAGGGTGGTATTCAACCCACTGGGCACCATTGTTAACATCAAACCCACACTTATTAGTTTTTTGACAGAGAGTGTGCCATTCGATTTTTGAACACCGCTACACAAAGTGTAGCACATTGTATGGTAGTGAATTTCAGTGGTGACACTGTGTCCTTTAGAACGTGCTAGTTAGGATTTGCATTTAATTCACTCTTGTGACTTATTACTACAGATGTTTCAATGATGTTTGGACGGAAAAAAATAACAGAAAAGGTGGGGGGTGGAAAGGACAAAAACTAGATTATTCAGACTGCAGCTCAGTCTTTGCTACAAAAGCGTAATAAGGAGGAACTTGACCACAAAAAGGTGTTGAGGATTAAGATGGTAGAGCAAGCTTTCCATATATAGGAAATTACATTCAGGCTCTGCTCTTTCATGACTGATTCCACGTCTTGCCTTCTCCGTGCCCTGAAGTAAAAGGGTTTCCACAAGTCTTCATCTCATGATTTCACTGGTGAAGACAAAAGACCAGTAGTGCAAAAAAGTACGGCAGAACAAAAACTGTAGCAGGAAACACAAAGACCTCTCAAGAAAGTTCAACAACAAACTATATTGGAGTTGTTCTTACACAAAAAGCTGCCACAATCATGTCAATACTGACCCATTTTTTATAATTCAACTCCCAAACTTGAATCCAGTTTATCTTAACCTGTTGCCTTTTTATCAGTCATGTTCTTTACGAATTTAGAAATAGACATGCTCTTAGGCTACTTTTTACTTTCTAATGTAGCTGGCAAATACTTTCAAAGCAAAAACTGGTTGTTCATTTGTAACTCATGGTGCTGCTTGCAATATCCTGATACTTGAGCTGCTATTGAGCCAATTCACACCTTATCTAAACGATTTTGGAAAACATAGTTTTTTTCCTAAATGTTCTTATTTTGTCATTAGCAAAATGAACTAACAGGTATTTTTTTCCCTCACAATGAATTGACCACAGTAGTTCTGTGGTAAATTTATGATGAAATTATGGGGAGTTGGTGAATGCAGTTTGTACGTTAGTTTTGCGTAATTTGTTTTCAGTGGTTTGTGTTGTGAAATGCACCAGTGTGCCTGTCTCAAGTTGAAACTTTCGGGATGCTTCTTTTTATTTTAGTGCCATATTTAATTTTTTTTTAGTTTCAAGACAAGAGGCGGCTATAGAATAGAGGGCAGTAGGAGCTCAGTGTTGCATTCTATAAGCTCCTTTAAGGCCAATTAAAGAGAATCACAGTCATATATTTTATTTTGTTTTGTATCAACACAGCAACATGCTTCTCCTTATCGGCTATGGTGCGCCATATTATTCCTCCCCAAAGTTTTCCCATCTGTCCCTGTTGATCGCCAACAAGTCTCTTTCAGGCCCCTAGCTGGGAGTGGAGAAAAAAAAGTAAACTAGCAGGGGGTCCTCATTTCAGTCCAGCCCTCGACTGTGGCCTTCCAGACCAAAGCACTCTTGTATAGCTTTTTGATGGGCTTTCAATCCGAGTCCCACTGACAAGAGGGTTTATAGGAGGGGTAGGAGTTGTGTTTTTTTTTTAGGGGGGTTGGGGAGCTTTGCAGAGAGTTGGGGAGGGGGGGGGGGGTGGGGTGGAAAGTAAAAACTGCAACAGATGGGTCTGATTGTGCTCTCTACGCAAATTAAGGAGAGGGACATCTGCAGCACCAAAATACTGGTGGTCTGAAGCAATTAGGCCCCTGGTGGAAAGGAATAAAAAGAGGAGGAAAAGGCTGTCCGGCCTGCCAGTGCATAGAAATGAAGTCGGGCTCACATTACAATGAGCTTGGCCACAATGGTGAGGAGCAGGGAAGGAGAGATGAAGAAAGAAAAGAAGATTAATGTACAGAGAAGCAAGCAAGAACATTTGCAGCACTAGGCCGTAAAACAAGAGGAGTGGCTTCAGGATTCAGACTCGGCTATAAAGTGTCCTTTCTTACCATCGTCCCAAATCTGGGGGCCATTTTCAGAGGTGTCATCTCAGAGGTTCAGTGTTTTTTTTCCTTGGGGAGATGACATGATAATGCAGGGTCATCTTCAGGATTATACTTTTTTTAATGTATTCTTTGTCGATTGGTTTTGGTAACTTGGGATAGACTGCGCAGGGGGAAAAAGGAAGAAATGCTACCAGGGTGTTTACAAGATTCCCTGCGGGAAATCTGTGCAACAATGCAGTCACTTGTGCAGATTTGCATAATCCAGCCTAATGAAACAGTCACGTGTTGTGTGAAATAACTGGGGCAAGTTACTGGGTAGATTGCCGGGAAGCTAGTTGTTTTCTTGCTCTGAGTTGCTGGCTAGTTAAACATAGGCTGTCATATCTGCTGTCATATACTCCATGCACAAACATGTTCATCAACAGGAGCATAAAGGGCATAACTTTCCTGTGATGAATGCCAATTGACATATAAAGTAAAAAAAGGAAGGGGTATGCCCACCTTGCAAATAAAATGTATATAGTAAAGGAAAAACTGAAACTAAGTATGATACTGACAGGTTTTCCAACGTTCAACATCATAGATTTAATAAATTGCTGATATATATTTATTTATATATATATATTTGGACTGCAACTGCAATCATTAGTTGGTTGGGGTTACACATAAAGGCATCACTCTTGGATTTAACTGTCCTGTTTAATTATTAAAAAAACAGGATTAGGCAACTTATCCAGACAGTGACCATGCTTTGTGCCTATATTCAAACATATTATAGGCACAAATGTATTCGTTTATACTTAAATTTGTTTCAGCTTAATATTCCCTTACAAATATTCAAACCTACCTAGGTTCACACTTCTGTTCATTGTGTGTGCAGAAGATCTATACCTGCTTTCTTCTGACCTGAACTTTTACATGCACTATGTTAGGATTTAAAAACTCCAGAAATGTATTTAACAAAAATTGGCTTTGTTTGGGATAAAATATTGCCAATAATACCTCTGTGAGCCATTATTATTAATATTAATGCAAATAATACATTTGCATCACCTACACAGGTAGTTCAGAATTATTTCTAAAACAAACAAACAAACAAACAAACAAACAAACAAACAAACAAACAAACAAACAAACAAACAAACAAACAAACATTATAATGGGCTGTATTTTTTATATCTGATATGAACCAGAATAAATTAATGGGACAGTTTCTCCTAGCATTATGCGACATACTGTAGATACATCTGGCTGATAAATCTGTATACACACCTGTGTGTGATGAGGGGAAAAAGGGAATATGGAGTTCAGAGGTTTGTGGTCAGAATTGCTGGTAAAAATAAAAATAATGAGCATTTACCTGAAAGGTCTCCTGTCTTTGATTTCAATAGCTTCCACAAAGTGCTAATTGCTCATGATTGCTAAGAGGCTCTCATAAAGACAGGATTGCTCTTGGTTTGAAATAGGAGCCTTAGCTACCTAATCCTGTGGTTGCCTCATCTTCCAACTCAGACAGATTCCTAAAACATTTTTCCCACATTTGCACAGTCATTACTATCTTTCCGTCTTATTTAAATTAATAAGGCACTACCCGAGTTTGAAATCTTCACCCCTTTAATGCCACTTCCACTACACTCTTCAACCATCTAATCCTTTGTGAAATACAGAAATATTTCAGGTAAAAAGCAGTATTTTCCAGGATTGACTGTGCAGTTTAAAATGGTTCAGGGTGAGGGCTGTTCAATTAAAGAAGTGGATACAAAAAGAGAATGGAGGTCACTAAATGAAAGGTCACTACTTCATTTCATTTGAGACGTACATGACAACAAACTTGTCTGTAGGCATTTAATTTTTATTTTTTCGTGTGTGGTTGATTTCAAGTCAATACCTGCTTCCGAAATCTCTGATGTCAGATCGTCAAGAAAACAACAGAAGTTTTTTTAATAAGCAAAGTTACTTTTAGCACACAAGGTGACCTTATGAAAATAAGTGGTTAGAAAATGGCTGGACGGGTGACTTTATATTGCTCAGTGGAGTACGTCAGCTGCTGCAAAACATTCACATCTGTAAGAGTGTTTCAATTTGGAGATAAACTGGCAGTGAGAATATGATTAAGGCTTTAATTCTCTGCTAAGGCTTGAGTGTTCTGACCAGCAGACTTCGGCTGCACTTCATACATACATCTGGTGAACATGTTTACTTCTCTGTGATACACAAACAATATATGAGTGTAGTGTACAGTTTGTGGTGTAATCTGACAAATCTGATAAAGGCCTTCCCATTCTTTTCAGTTATCAAAACCACAATCTAAAACAATCAGCAAATACCAAATCCTACCCCACTGTGGTTTCCTCTATCAACCAAAAAAAATAATAAAATTAAGCAAAAACATTACAATATAAATATCATTCTTACTTTAATAGAATGTACTCTCAGGGGAACAAAAGCAGTAAAGAAAAATGGGACTAATCAAACATCAAGTGCTTACAAAACATGTTGCAACTGATACAACCCTTGCAACAGCACAGTGTAATTTTGCTGGTTTCAGTACAACGTCTATGAAAGAGAAAATGTTTACCACTGTTATCTTTGACTCTACCCAGCCTTATAAAATGGACTTCTTGACAGCGGAAAAAGTTGCCAGCTGAAGACATCACAACTCTTTATTAGCAGCAAACTGGGAATCATCACTGAGCAGGAGTTGCCTGGATGAGGATCCAAGCCAAGGAATAATAACCTGTACTTTCTTCATTCTGTAATGGTTAGATGTGCCTTATTTAATTTAGCAAAGTCAAAATGTGACACTATAATCACACGTTCTGTAATTGTGTTTTGAATTTATCCCTTTAGTCTTTAATGACATTTAACCTCCTCTTCCATGCTTATTAAAGTGGGCAGCTAATCTGTAATTGAGGGGAATTTCATCACAGCTCGAAATAATGGGAAAAGGAAGCAGAATATCCTGTCTTTTGTTCCTTGCAAGTAGTTTTTTTCTTGGCGTTTGCTTGTTTTTTGGTAATGACTGTTAAATACTGCGAAATGACTCCATCAGTGCAGAAGGGAATTCAGTCAAGCTCAGCTGCTGGAACTGTATTGAAAAGCCAAAAATTTAACAATTTCAATGCATAGCCCTTTCCGTAAGCTTACTGTGGTATTCCATGGTTGAAACACAGTGGGGTGTTGTGAAGCATTTTGAAAAAAGGGGAAAAGAGTGACAAAGTATTGCAGAGATCACAGTTATAATTAACCAGATAACTCAGTTAAAATCAAATTCTGTTTTGCCATGATGTTTTAGTGAAGGAAGCCACATATAGCACCTACAGTACATCAACAGGAATAGGCCACATTTAAACCCAGAATCTTCTAGTTAGAATAGATCTAACTTCTATTCCACACTGCCAGCCAAATAAATAGTTGCAATGGGTACACGAAAAACACTGGATCATATAACTTTACTAAACATCAATGATAGCAAAGAAGGGAAGTCAATGTTAGACTTTATTCACAACATTGCGCCTCCTGTGGGTCGCTCTCTAGCATGGTTGTATGATACTGCTTCTCAGCTTTTGGCACCTGAGGGAAGAGTATCACTTAAAAGACAAATATCAAGTCTTCAAGGTACAGTTTCATCTTAAGAGTCTCCAGTTAAAAGCCAAGCTGAGCCTTGCTTGGTTTGAGATTAGACATCAAGGTGGTATGACTGGAGGCACTTACAAAATTAATTCCAATAACTTAGAGTAAAAAGCTGCACTCTGCCCTTAGAATCCAGGTGGTTTGACAAGCAGTGATCTCTAATCCACACAGGCACTAAATGAATGGATTATTTCTTCCCCTACTTTGTTATAAGGTTGCGTGTTTTTCTGTTGATCTGTTGAATTGAGATAATTAAAACAAAACCTTCAGTTTTATTTCTGTATAGCGTCCTTCACAATAAGTAGTCACAGAGCAATTTGACACTTATTTACACAGAATATACAGGAAGGGTTATACAATAAATTCAAAGGAAATGAATGTAGGTGGATGTAAAGCGGTTTAGTGTATCACAGAGTAACTGTAATTGGACTGAAACACATAAATCTCCATAAGGAGAAAAATACATCTCTGGGGGTCCAAGGCCCAGTGGTCTGCCTCCCCTCCAGGCATGAGCTGTGTGTATTGAGACAGTAGATGTGTGAGGCATGTTGGGGAGAGAGTGTGTTTATTTTGCTCAAGTTAGTGTATGAAAGCAGAATTTATAATGAATTCAACTTATAAATAAACAAAGCAATGATATAAACTCATGTAGTTTCATATGGATTTTTTTATCGCTCTTATTTAGAAACATGACAAAAACGAGGAAGAAAACACATTAAGAAACATAGAATGAGGTTAATTAATGTCAGTTAATCCAGTCATTCAATTTGAAAAAAAGGTTTACCATTTGTAATGAACATTACTTTATTCTAAAACAACACTGTATTCTAAAAATAAAATGTATCTACGTACCTTAAACCGGATTATCAGCAGGAAGCTGTGGTTGAGAAAGACTAATTTCCATCTGACCAGCTGTGTCATCAGTTTTACAGATCTGTGTGACAGCGATAGAACGTTTCAAACTGATCTCTGGAGTTGAAGTGATGAATTCGTTGCTGTTCGGACTGAGTTTATTTTTTGGACTTTTTGGTCTCATCTGGACTCAACAGCATGTCAACGAGCGGAAATGTGGTAAGGGGCAAAATTTTATTGAACTTTCACTAGGAGAGATTGTTGGAGTATATACCATAGAGCATGCCATGACTTAGCCCAAGTTAACATTTCCCCTTTTCATCTTTAGAGTATTAAAACAATGTCCCAGACAGTATATCCATTTTTTTCCTTAATCACTTTTTTAACCAGATCTTTCTGAACCACTTATAAGATATTTTGGTTGTTTCAAACAAAAACTGTTTTATTTTATCAATACGTTAGTCTGAAATAAGGGGAGTTCTTAATAGACCAGAGACTGTTTTTGCTGTAGATGTTCACACTAAAAGCACATGATCCTTATTCAAACATACCTCAGCATGTTTGAAATGGTTTGTGGGCTGTTCATGATACAAAGCTGTTTTTCTTTTTTGCTTCTGTGGTTACAATTTCCATTTGTTGACCCACTTTTTTGCTATTCTTTATATACATATTACTTTATGTATTATTATTGCATTAGTAGATTTGACCTTATAAAATCGGGATACATGCCAGAAAAAATGTATGAAAAAGTTAATCTTACCTTAAAAATTGTCTTCAATCTAGTTCTGGGAAATCAAGATTAATACAAAGTCAAACTATACCTCAAAGCTCCTCACTCCAGGGATAAGTACAATGCTTTCTGATTCACAAACACAACGTTTATTTTTATGCAGGACCTCCTCCTTCCCGGAGCCTCACCCTCTATCAGAAGTGTGAAAATGGAGTCATCAGTAACTTCTTGAACGCCTCCAGTCAATCCACTTTAACTGGTCCAGTAGCAACTTTAATAATCCCCATCGTTTACACTGTGGTGTTTCTGGTGGGGCTACCAGCAAATGCTGTCGCTCTCTGGGTCTTGCTTACCAAAGTCAAGAAGCTGCCCTCTGTAATTTTGCTCGTCAACCTGGCCCTTGCAGATCTCCTCCTCATTCTGTTTTTGCCTTTCAAAGCAGTCTACTACTTTCTGGGGAGCCACTGGACGTTTGGAGAGCCTATGTGCCGTATTGTCACCGCAGCCATTTATGGCAACATGTACTGCTCCATCCTCTGCCTCACGCTCATCAGTATCGACCGCTATATCTCTCTGGTCCACCCCTTTTCAGCCAAGAGCTTCAGAAGCAGGACGCTGGCCATCTCAACTTGTGCTGTGGCTTGGGCAACTGCCATAGCAGCCATGGCGCCGTTTGTCTTGAACAAACAGTCTTACCCCATCAACGGCACCGACCTGATCATCTGCCATGACGTTTTACCAGAATCTCTAAATACCGGCTTGTTCATCTACTACTTCTCATTTCTGTCAGGGTTTGGGTTCCTTGTTCCCTTCATTTCCATCCTATTCTGTTATGTTTCCATTGTGTTTTCGATGATTCGGCACAAAGAACGTTTCGCACGAACTATCAAGATCACCATCCTGGTACTGACTGTTTTCACTGTGTGCTATATTCCCAGTCATGTCATTCTGTTGCTTCATTACTTCAGAGATAAAGCCTGGCAGGACCCCCTCTTGTATTTGGCCTACATGATTGGCCTAGCCCTCAGCACGTGCAACAGCGCTATTGACCCTTTTCTTTACTACTACGTGTCGGATGATTTCAGAGCCAAAGTCAAGGGGGCGTTGGTTGGGCTAAGGACACAAGAAAGCACTCAGGGATCACAAACAACACAACAATCCTCTAACAAACTGAAGTCGGAAGAAATCATATAATTTGTAAAAACTAGCTCTTTAGAAAAAGAAGAAAGGACATGATGGACTGACATTTGACATTTGTTTTTTAAATAATACCTTCATTTTGATAGTGGTTGCTACACACACATAATTATCTTTTCGATAATAATAAGGAGAATAATCCTACTGACAAGCTGTAAAATAGAGGTATAAATGATTCTCATTTCTACTTTTAAAGATACTATTTATTTAGCTAATGCCTTTATTCAAGACAACTCACATTGAAAACAATGAACTGTACAAAGTACACACTGCACAAGAAACATGCAGAACACAAAGTAGTACCAATAAGATTATTGGTTACTATAATTTCTCAAAATAATTCAATATTTCAAACTCTGATGGTTTGTCTTGTTTTGATAAAGAAGCAAGGAACACGAAGATATGGTCATATAAAATAAGAATTGTATTTAAGAACTAATTAGAATGCCTCAACTGCTAAATGAAATATGCTCTGTTGACCAAGAAACAATAATGATAGTGCAATAGATATTTAACAGAATATTATTTTCTATATTTTCACATGGTGTGATTGCTTATAAGTAGTATGCACAGTAAGTACCAATTAGAAAACAATGAGAATGAGGATATAGAAATATAATCTGATGAAAACCACAATCAGTGTTGGAAGATTTCAGGGCTTCTTATAACCTCACAGACAAAAAATTCTATGAAAAGGTAATTCATACTTACCAATGAAGGTGATATTGCTTCGTGAAAGACCATGTCTGTTTAAAAGACTGTGTCTATTTAAGACCAATATTCATTTTTAAAACTTTGTGCTGGTAGCAAAATGCTTGAAAATCAAAAAACATATGAATAATTGTAATTGTCATTGTCAGAAGCTGGACTTTGTGTTCTTAAGGCTTATTTATCTATTATAGCTTATTTGCCTTTTCTCTCACACAATTACGGAAATAATTGAGCTACATCCTTTATTTCTGAACCAATAAAAAATAATTTATTTTATAGCATTTTTGTGTAAACAAGCCAATGTATATATCAACCAGTGTCTATCAGTCAGACCCCTTATAGAAAGCCTGTCTAGGAAGCAAGTAGCAAGTAGCTTGGTTCTGAGACCGTAATTCTGAGAAAGGATATGAAGCAAATAGTTCATTTTAAGAATGTCTTATGTGCTTAGTCTTCAACATATGGTAAGTGCTAAATAAAAACAGCCAGCATGATTGACTATAGCGTATAAAAATGAAAGTCACAATAACACAAAAGCCCACAATCTTCAACCATATCACCTGCTTCATTTTCTTTTAACTTTATTTACTATTCTTGTAAAGCACGTTGAGATCACAGCTATATAAAATGGGTGATAATTATTAAAAGAAAGGTTTGGATAAGAGAAGCACATGAAAAAATCATGCAACATCAACTGAATTCCTGAAATCAGACAGGCTGTTATGCTATAATCTTCTGCTCTAAAGCAATAGATGAAAATCAGAATGAAGTGCATATCTGAATAAAATATATTCCAGAAAGCTTTCATTATCAGTTATTGTTGGTAGAAAATTTGTTAATCAAGTACAGGACCTCTTAAAACAGTCCCAATTGTAGTAGAAATTTTAACATTCTTGTAATTCCCATCATAAATACTTAAAATTCTAACCCAGAGTGTAAAGTTTATAGGCTCTATACTTTTCACCTCATTTCTTCTTATATAGACAGTCTTCTATATTATATAGCAGTCTTACTGCTACAATTTCATGAACACCACAAAATACAATTTTGAGAATATGGTGCCTACAGTTGCTGAAGTCTTTACGATTTGTAACATTGTCTGGACTATGAATAATCAGATATAAACACTATGTAGAAAACATTCATTTAATACAAGAAACAAACTTCCTTCACAATCTGTCATTTCAGTTACATTTTTTTCAAAAAGGTAAATGAACTAGTTAAAAATGGCACATATACACTGTACAGTATTTACAGTTAATTTGAGCAATACATAAAGCTATGCACCATCAAAAACTAAAAATAAGAACATGCCAAAATTAAAACCATACTTTTTACAGCACAAATAACCTTTAAAAAAGTTTCTGTTGTTAAACATGTTAAAAAGTTTTTGCTATTAAATATTACAAATTAATCTTTAATGCAATTAGGTAGTGCTTAGATCACTGCAAATGCAAAAAGAGTAATTAGTTCAATTATTAGTAAGATGAAAGGAATTGTCAAAGATTGACAGATGATGAAGGAGTGGTAAAGCATGCATCTTAAAGAGTTTTGTAATGGACATCAGAATCTGAATTTTAACATGGTTTGTTTCATAGCTCACTCAGGCACTGATTCAGGGAAAGAAATCACATTCACAAAATTTTCAAAATTAGTGATGCTTCTGCTGATCCCACAGAATAGGAATTTAATTTTTAAGCCTGTACTGTTGCTGCATACAGCTGTCAACTATGTACCGAGTAGCTGTAACATACACTGGGGTTGTGAAAATTCTTGCCAATGCTCATAAATGATAAAACTAGCTACTGTCTTGTGGTAAGAAACACACACGCTAGTTACTGCTTTAATTGCTGAAATACTCTGGTTGTATAAAATAATGTGTACTGCGGAATATTTTACTATCCAATAGAGTACTTTGCATTTGTAAATGTACAATTTAAAAATAAACATTTAATCATGAAGATGTGGGTGGTCGTGAGTGTATTCAAGTGGCAGTTATACAGTAAAATAAAAGTGCTGTGATAATGAATGCATTTCTTCCAGGAGCACTTCATTTTAAATAAATAAGTAACATAAAGAAAAGCAGCACTCATAACAGCTTATGTAATTCAGTATGTAATAGATCTGGATATTATTTTCTGCAACTATAAACTATAAAGTTTGCATACAGGTGCACCATAAATTGACTCAACCACATATTGGCTTATAAAGAAAAGACACATATGTGTATGAGTGTAATACACTTTGTGTATTTTGAGTCCCTGGGAAAATAAAAGTATTTGCATCTTTAATTTTGGCAAAACTTTTCATAGTCCTAGAAAAAGACTGAACAACATTAAAAAGCAGTAATTTATAAAATATTTATGAGTGAGCTTTGTACATTTTTAATCATTTGAATTGATTCTACCATACAGAATGTGGCCTAAAAGAATTTGTATTTCAGAGCAAATTTCTGATTTCATTTTACTTCGATTACAAATAACCTGAAAACCAGTTACAATACCTGAAGGGCTGTAGTTACTTTACAAGGATGCCCAACATCCCCCTTTTTTTGCTACAACATGTCCAGCACTGACCTCTGCTGTCAAAAACAGTCAAGCAGTTTTGCGAAGCTCTTATTTCAGAGCAGTTGTAAAATAGGCTGAAATGAATAGTCCTTCAATCTGTTTGGTTGCTTGATTCTTATTTTATAATGAACTTGCTATAGTCGTGTGATACAGGCAGTAAGCTACCTTGAATACTAACTGCTCCACCAATAGGGTTAAAATATTTATGTAGTGTAGAGTTTCTTGCCCACTCTATCGTGTGCTCTATGGCAAACAACTTTGATATGCCTTTTCAGAAGCTATTTTTCCTGGAACGGTGTAATCAACGTGACAAAGAGATTCACGCAGAAATCCTAACAAAGTATATAGGAAAGAATGCATACAAAAAAATAATGTGGGCACTTCAGTTATTGACAATAACTCGATTCCCTTTTAGAAAAGAGAAAGATTTAGAGAGTTCACTTTTCAGTTATAAGCCCATGTAAGACCTTTGCTGTTGTACTGCTAAATACAAATACAAATAGAGTATTTTTACTTTATCTCTTAGTACACTTTTTAACATTACCACTTGTTACAGGATATACCTAACATCCAAGAAATAAAATTATGATGGGCCTTAAAGAGAAAGACTAACAAAATACTAAACAATTGAAGAGCATGACTTCTTACATTCAAGAAAAGTGCCATCATTATTAGAGTGGACAGCAATTAATGTTACAATGATACTCTTTATTAAGATCAGAAATGTGATAACTTTAAATAATGTTGTTGAAGACAGAAGATGTAAGTGCAGTTAAGTGATACTAAACTCACTAGAAGTTAGCATCATTTAGTTTTCAGAATTAATCTGACAATTGTTAGCGGTAATGCAAAAATAAAAACAAGGTCTGTGAACATCTCCTCTGACAACTGTATCTGTGAAATTCCATCCACAGATGGAATGAATCCTGTTTCAAGATATTTTAACTATGAATTTTCATGTTTCCATAGTTGATGTTTTCCCAGGTTTAAGGGTCAGTTTAGGACAAGGCTTCTGTATATTTAAATAGCAGTAATATACAGCACCTTTCTAAGGGCAAATCTATTATAACAGACATTTATCTATTTTGGAAGCACTTATACATATTGGGCAAAATGTTTGTAAGACATTTATAACTGTTGTATTAGGTAACAGAAGGGTCCCTTCTTACAGTAGTTTTAAACACTTTCCTTGAACACCACAAATATGTCTGCACATAGCATAATTGCTTTGTTTTTAAGAAGACATAATTTTGTGCATTGTTTCTGTCCTCAAATGATATTGTCCTCATCATGCTTGGTGGGACTATCAGTCTCATTTTTCTTCACAAACACATTAGATAACTCTTCCAGTAGCCTGTCCTGCGTAGGGCTGCCATGTCCTATGATCTTTTTTCTGGGGTTAGGTCGGGTCATCTTGGAGTCTGGCTGACCAGTGTCATCCAAGAAAACGGGCTGACCGCTCCTTAAAGTATCCAAAGAGGCTGCTGGGGTGAGGCCTCTGGGACTTTCAGTCATCAGCACCTTCACAGGGTTGGGCCCGATCATCCTGTCCAGGGAAGCAGTCTTTCTCTGGCCCAAACTGGTTGGCCTGTCCAGGGTCTTTGCAGAATTCACCCCTCTTACCTCCTGGGTTTCTGCGTCCGTACTCGACAGGAAGCTGGTCTCCAGGGACTTGAGGACCTGCATGCCAAAGTCCCCGACTTCTTCATACAATGGCTCAGGACTCTCCGATTGCTCCTCAAAGGAGTCCTGCTGCATCTTCATGGGCTGAAAGTCAGGAGTAAAATGGAGTTTAATGTGAACTCTACAAGCCTAGGAAAGCTTTATCATCTATGATGCAAGCTAGCACACATCTTTTACATTACAATATATCAGCATATACTGACAGGCATTAAAACACAGCAAATGCTGTTGGTTCCAGTACTCATTTGTTACATGTGTAACGCTTCTCGGTACATTAATAGCAGGATAAGACTTTTTTACGAATGAACCAAGGACAAAAAACATCCAATAAGAACCCAAATCACACGCTGTGATAGACAGACACTTTATTGATCCCGTAAGGGAAATAGCAGCTTAACACAGTCAACACAGCAACAGTGTAACGAACAAAAGATATGTCAAACAGAAATCTATATTAAAGATCTACATGGAACTGGGTACGTGGAACAGGGTAGTCAAGGGACATTTCCCAATATGGTAAAGATGCCATTCTGCTTTGTGCACTTTTAAACATTAATTTACACTGTGACAAAGTTAAAGGCAGCACCATTTCAGATGAATGGATGTTGACAACTTGCATACAGGGATTAATGTGTACTATTTGTCTCATCACACCATCTCGCAAGCTGTGTGAGTCTTGAACAAGTTACTCAGCCACATTTTCAAGCTAGGACCCAGGCTTCTCTCAGGAATCAGCAGGATCCTCCAATTAATTAGGTACTTAGCAACAAATTGAGCTTGATAGCCTGAAATGCTTTCATTTGTAACTTTTCTTTTGTTTGTTGCTTCTTTTCATTTTTACAGTTTTGGCCTATGTGTGATAAAATTCCTGTTGCACATATTTGCATGTTGCATTTTTAAAATCTGGAATAAGCAAAACACAACTCTCTCATTTTCACTCTCTGTTGTAATAATAATGTAATAACTATGTAACTCTATTTCAGAAGATTGGAGGCCTGCATTAGCTATTAGGCATCTAGAAGAACAAAGCTAGAAAAATAAAACAATAAAGTATTTTAGCAATTAAATTTGGACATTGATAAGTAATGAATAAATAAAGAGAACTTATCTGAATGGAAATCATGCAAGGAAAATCTTCAGTGCTTCAATGCCTAAATACCAAACCACTAAAACCTTCATGTTTATGAAGATGTGCCATTAGGTCGTTATCTCTGGCTTGAGCTATACCCTGAGTGTAATCACAAAGCTTTGCCTTAAGGCAAACTTCAGAACAATAGAGTATAGCACCACAGTTATCTTTTCAATTCACTCAGTTTCCTGTACTTAAAACCATGGAAGAATTATATTTGTCACAGGAATGAAGCAATCCAGGAAAAACTGCTGTAGAGTTGAAGCACTGATAAGATGTATTTTCTATTCCTCAGACAAGTAAGATTTTACACATTGCTTCTAAGATCATATTTATTCAAACAAATTAAATCCAGCTCAAAAAGAACTTTTCACACTTATGGTTATAGAAAGCGTTTTACCAAGAGCACATCACTCCATGGGTATTAAGATCAAAGCAAGAACAATGTATTTATTTTAATAAAGCATGTGATACAGATTTTTCCTTTTATGTATTGGTTCACCATATATTAGGGTAGAGTGACAAACTGTTGAGATACCAATCTCTTGTGAGTCCCACGCTACCAGAACTGCAAGCACATGACACAAGTACTGTATATAGGTCAGGCAGACCACAGGCTGAAAAGAAAGTCTGAATTGTTTTGCAGGCAGACAAAAAGCAAGGCCATACTTACAAAGAACATGGAGAGTGTCCTTCTAGCATGTAGCTTTCGCTGCAAAGACAGAAACAGATGAGCTATGAGCCCCTAATAAAGCTACATAAGCAGGAAAGACAACACTGCGACAAATACAGGGAGTCAAGGGCGGACAGCAGCAAAGGCCCAGGCAGGCAGGTGAGGAAGGTTTTGTGCTCAATATGCTTCTTTGTCACAGTGGGAAATCTTGGAAGCTGAAAAAGTGTCATGTAATAAAAGTGCCTTTTACCAATAAAATAGAAATTTCTGGTTGGGTGTTGAAAACTGACGACTGAATCCAAAGCTGACCTTAGCAACTAAAAAGGAGAAGAAAGAGCCACATGTCTACTCTCAGTCACACTCTCTGCTGCAACTCTGTTACATTACCAGTGTCTGATTGGCGGAAAACATGGTGGAGTTGCTTTCATCTCCTCGGATGGGAACCAGGGGCATTGTTCCAAATTTCTGTTTGGAAATGTCCGAAGAAGAGTGCCGTCGTAAAACTGGAGGCCGGAGGTCATCGTGCTGAAAAGGAACCAGGGCTTGTTTAATGAAAGCAGACTCAAGGGGAACTACATGTGTGGCCTGAAAGCTTAGTCAGATGAGTGACTCGTTGAAAAAACCGTGGCTGATTAGGAATTCCAAGAGTTTTGAAAGGTGGTGAAGGGAGACGTACCTGGGCTTTCAAAAAACTGACCATCCAGTCCCACATCTCAGCTTCTCCAGAACAACAGAGGTACCTGTTCCAACAGAAAGCCTTCTTACTAGAGTGGTGTTCCAGAAAATTCAGAAATACAGACTTCCACTTTGCATGTCAAAAGCAACAACAGCTTGACTGGGCTAGGAATACACGACACATGTAATGAAACATACAACAATTATGCAGCTGTGTGCCCACGTTTTTAGGATATAATGAAGCACCATAACAATTAATCCGTAGAGCAACAGCACTTTGGCACAGTATATATATATAGTATATCACCAATTACAGAAGATTTTAATATTATTACTTACAATTGTTGTCTGTCCAGAAGCACTGTAAAACCCCACCTAAAAAAATAATAATATTGATGTCACCTAATAACTGCAAACAAATACACTTCTAATAATTTTCTGATTTGTCATCTTCATGGAATAAAACTTACCTTTAAAGGTTGGAGTACTTTAATGACAAATACTTTGAAAGATTAAGAGGATCTACACAGCAGCAATACTCTGTGTGTGGTTGTCAAAATGCAGGTTAATTCCGAATATAACAATCAGTTGTCTGAAAGATTAACATAAACAATGTCTTACTGTGTTGGTGCTTTGAGCTTCTTGCGAATTCCAATATAGATTTTTAGAGTTTTCAATGGCCACTCTTTCTCAGGTTTATTGCTCTGGAAAAATATAAAAATTTAAGAAGTATTTAATTTTAAATAAAAGCTACACAGTGGAGACTTTCATACATTTTGCAATCAGCTTATCTGCTTAACTCAACTCAATTTAAATGTGTTTTGATATGCAAAACACAAAACCAGGATTATATTAATATAAATATATTTTCAGCATTATATAATTCAGGCTGATTTGAACATTCAGGTTCTTTGATTCTTCAGGCAGCTCTGTCCATATCAAGATAAAGTTGTGTATTGTCACCTTTTTGTCTTTCAGAAGAACAAGTTTGTGATCCCGGATCTGGAATGATCTCTCCTGGAATCTGTTCCCCTGCAACATTTTGGGGTGCTCTTCACGACACTTCAGCACCCCACTCTTCACAATGTCACACTTGTAAGCTGTCAACAAACCAATCCACTGATTTTTTAACATAAGTTGGAAGTTTAATTCCAAACAAGCAGAACATCAGACCAAGGTAAAACAGACTCTAAGGCAATGAAAGTTGTGTATTTCACGAACTTTCTTTTCCATTCCTCTGCCTGCTGCAAAGAACAGTGCCTGTGACAGTTTACAAGAGTTTCTTTACTTCAATATCTTCCACTTTGGAAAGACCTCTGAAAAAAAAAACATCTGTGGAGTTATGCACATTACACTCATATGCACCACAGATTTAGAAATAACTTGTGCCAAAGCCGTTAAAACTTAGCGTTAAGGTACCTGTGAAGATGTTGATAGCCTCGGTTCTGGGAACCTTCTTGACAACGAGGTAGGCTGAACTTGGATTAGGCATCTTGCACCACTGCAGAGCCTGTTCCAGAACCTTCTCTTTGGGATGGAGGGGCCTCTCTGTGACAGAAAAAATATACGGATGACAAACGACAGCTTTTAAGCAATGTTAATGTAATGTTGCTAAAATATTCCTGACAAAGAGGATCACCCATTTAAACTCTGTTTTTCCAAATCATATATATTTTTCTACATATTTTTACAATTAAAATTAAATTCTCTATTTTTTCATTCGACTGTTCATAAATCAAGGCCTAGCACCAAAGGCAGGATGTGAAGAACTCTCAGTTCGGCTTCACAATTAATGGAAATTTTTACCAGGCCATAAAAATTAGTAGGATAAAGATGGAAACATATAAATTAAACAGGCCCATCAGATAAATGGAAAGGTGTGGTACATTTCATGGGCAATATTGCATAATTGATGACACAGCTTTGTCACAGCCTACTATACTCATATACAGTTTCACCTACATTACCTAAAAAAAAAAAAAAAAAAAAACATCTTTCAAGAGAGTTCAGAAGAAAAAGAATGGTTATAAATTTGACCACTTCCTTACAGCATTTTCTGCTTTTTGAATTTTGGTTTTGAATTTACTCTGCATTCAGGTGAGTTAAGCCTCATCATGGCACTTGGGCTACTTCCACATCTTCTAAACCTCAGAGCTTCACAATGCCCAAAACCTTAGGGCCTTCTGCTTACCCAGCTCCTCATCCTCAATGGCTTCAAACGTCAACCAGACATCTTTTTCACCTGCAGGGACATTTCTCATGTACAAGACCTGGTTGGTTAGTTCCTCAGCGCACATGGTTGGAGATACCTAACAAAAGAATACAAAGAAACAAGTAATAGGTTTATTCCATGCTGAAAAAAAGAAGAAATAGAACACAACGTTTCGGCCGTGGAGCCTTCTTCAGGTTGCACACCTGAAGAAGGCTCCACGGCCGAAACGTTGTGTTCTCTTTCTTCTTTTTTTCAGCATGGAATAAACCTATTACTTGTTCCTTTGCAGCCTACGCATGCTGACGCAGCTACCCACCTGAAAAAGAATACAAATACTGACTTACAGTAGCTAGATCTTAAAAGACCACTTCATATTGCTGATGTGGAGCATTAGCCCCGCACTGTGGTGGAAATTTGGAACTGCAGGTCTCCAAAGGTGTGACTTTTTCCCATTCAAATTCACTTTTTACTCATTCCAGCCAAAGACAAACATGTTCAAAACAAAATTAAAGAAATTCTATTCATGGCAGTTGGGAAGGAAAGATGTTATGAAAATCTACATAAAAAACATTTCATCCAGGTAAAGTTTGTGTGAGATGTCAATGTAAAATGGTGCACCAATAAATTTCTTTTCATGACTATAAAGAACTTGAGTCATTTAGATTCACCTTTAGTCTGCTAGCATTTACAACATATACAAAAAAGTTTGCAAAAAATGCATTGGGAAATTTGCAAATGGTGTAATTTCTTACCAGCAGAAATACATTATAATTGAAAAGCAATACCCAGAGGAGTAATTAGCTTGTATATGGCTGTGAGTCTTAGTCATATTTTGTAGACTCTTTGTAGCCATGTGGCGACAAAAAAGACAAAGAAGATCTTCAACCAAAACAGTTTGCTTCTTACTTTGAGTGTAATGCAGCAATCGGGCAACTTCTTCTCCAGGTATACTTCAATAATCAAATCACCTGCTTGGGACAGCTAGCAGATCAGTAAAGAAAAAAAACATAAATAAAAACCATACAATCACAGGGCATCAAAAATAAAGGTGTGAATTTAAATATATTGATCATATTCACAGTGCAATATTAGTAAAACAAAACTACTTATCATTAGGTGACTAGTCATGCGATTTACCAAGGTCAGATTGCTATTACCTGTACATCCTTCCAGGTGGTGATCAGACTGATCTCCAGTTCAATCTGTGTCTGCTGCTCATCATCAATCTAAAACAATCAGCAGTTTTTAAGTGAACATAATACTGCTCGACTGTTTTATTTCAAAAGCTCTTTTTTGATTGATAGCCCCTCACTCTAGAAACTATCTGCGTTTTCACATTCAATATTTCCAGGCCAGACATCTCTTCTAAGTAGCTAGGGCTTCCGGACATTATGGTTTAAGGTGGTAAAACAGAAACACCTCCACAAGTTTCTGATTTCACATTCCACCTCCTTCATCCTTCTGCTATAGGATGCAGATTCCATTTGCCCTTGCTTATTCCCTGGCTTTCTTAGTCCTGCACCCCTCCTCCTCTTTTTCTGCAACACTAACTACAAAATGTGGTAAACAAAACTCACCAGAATGACTATACGGTATAAACTGTTTTGTATATCTCCCAGTGTGAGTATGATTGCTGTATAATAAAGTGCATGTACTCACATCGAAGACATAAAGGTAGTTGTCAATGAGATCTTCAATGATCTTGACCTCGTGTTCCCCTTTCCCATCTGTCTGGAAGAGGCTGGGTGCAAACAGCAAGGACAAGTTCTTGGTGCACATCTGGTTCAGGTCTGCACACTTCTGAACCCTATAAATCCAAACAGAGGGGTTTTAAAAACATTCCTGTACAACGTCATTCAAACATGTCTTCATTGATAAGGTGTCTTTTACAGCAATCATTGCAAGACACCGTATAATATATGCAAATGATATAAAAGTAATTACAAATAATACTTAAAGTTACTGATATATTATTGTAATTTTAAATATTTATGGATGTCAAAGTGGTTAGTAAACAGAAAACTGCAGGCACCTAAACATTATAAATGTAGACTGTGAAGAAATATTTTTTCTTAGTACTGTATTAATCAAGCTAAAAAAAAGCTTAACTCGGCGGTTTGGTTGGTAGTGGTCTAACAGACCGAGGACCTCATTCCGCTATGCCAGGAAACGAGCAGCTTTTTCAAGAAACTGGCTACTGGGTCAACTCTTTGACTACTCAATAATATCTATTAAGACAGAAATGCGCATTCCCCAGAATACATTAATACAGGTTATAGTGTGTATATAATTATGGACCTGTGTATGTTTTTTGCATGAAGTGTACATGTATTATTTAATTGTTTTCATCTGTTTTTACACACCAGATCAAAATTTAACCTATTTGGCAAATAAAGTGATTCTGATTCTAAATAGTTCGAAGGTCTCAGGCATACGGCCATTTAGAAAACATCAACTCAATGTGTTATAGTCAAGTATTATGGGTGCTGACCTGTAGAGGTGACCAATAAGGGCAGCCAGTGTAGTCCTGTTGACCCTTGGCAGGCTGCGAATCAGATCCTTGTACCTGTCCAGACGGCGCATCTTATTGGAAATCCCTTAAGGAACAGAGACAATCAAATAAGTTGTGTCAAAGGACAAAGACTGTACTCCTTCAAAATAATTGTTCCCACCTCCTGACAGTACATAACAGCCTTCAAATCAATAATCCCGAAGAAGTAACGTGTGAGGTGTTAAACTGACGTCCTTTATGTTCTAGTGTTTGATCTTTACTGAGATGTACATTCATTTAAAAGATTAAAATGCTAATTGTAATTACACCGTAATGGGAAATTCGAGGTCATGAGAAAGATTCAATGACCTATATACCACTGCCACAAAAAATAAGCAAGCACAAAAAACAGACTTAAGACAAAGCTGAAAAAAAAACCAGGTAAAGGAAATGAGATATTACCCTCACACTGTGGTTTAAATGTCTCAAATAACTAAATGAATGATTAAACATGAACCTGCAGCCTCCTTCCACATGGGGTGGAGATCTGCCATGAAAACAGGGTCATCGATTTCCCTGAAGAACCTCTTGAGCACGTCAGTGACATCTTCAATGAAGTTGTCTCCGATACGCAGTTTGACGTTGCGTGCGTCCTTGCGGAACTCTTCCATCAGCAGCTTGATCCTTGACTTGGCTCCATTTTTCCTGTAGATTCCTTCATGCCGTAGGCCTGATTTGCAAAAACATGATAAGACCATGGTTATATAAACAGTGGAAGAGCCAAGAAATGAACACACATCCGTTGAGTGTTCCTGACCTGAGGTCACAGTATCTACTGCAACTCTTCACAGTCAGTAACACCAGATCCAGAAGCTCTGGATAAATCACAGTGCTTTTTTTATTATTAGAAAAAGCAGTAAAAGCTGATGAAAAATGTGCAGCTAAAACTGCCAGCTATTCAAACTGTATTCAAATGCATTAAACTAAAAAGCAATACTGTTGCAGTACACTGCCAAACTCATCAATAGTACTTGAAAGTGCAATCTTGTTGCATTATAATATTTTCATGTAAGCTGTAGCCTTGATTACACCCTGGCAGTTTGAATGGACTCATACAGTACATTAACATTAAAGTAACACAACGTACCAACTGATTCTGGGAAATTATAAAGTTGTAGAGCTTTTTGAAGAATTCGTAGTTATAAAACAAGAGATATGCGGTTTTGCAGCTAATCTGCAGTGAGAACACTTAATTCCTTTTGTATCACAAAGGGTTCTGTGACGAATGGATCATGCCAAATAATGACATCAAACTGTTTTTTATTGAAGAAAGTGAAGAAAGTTAACTATGTACCCACCATACTGGGTGATGAAGGCTATGCAGCTGTCAACTATGATGGGAATATCATTTCTGCTTAGTTGCTGATCTCTGAGGGTATTTCCCTTCCCTCCTGCCGCAGTCTGAATGTCTGTGTACCAAAGGGAGAAATCCATCCGTCCTGTACCCTGAAGGTATAGCGTCCTACAGCAACACAGTAACCAGCTTAGACGAGGAATGGCATTCAGCACAATTCTGGACACACCACCACTGTCGTGTATCCAGGTAGCCGGTGGCTATATCACAAAGATGCTAATGTCTAGGAGTGGGAACTGTTGATCAAGATCAACCATGCCTTTAATGGAAAAAGATACTAAGATTTCTTAGCATTGTGTTCAGTCATTATTCTTGATCTTAAAGAGGGAATTCTAGCTTACAGTCAGTATAACCAACTTGGGGGAATCTTTTATTTTCTGTATTTCTACATTAAAAAGTGTGTAATGTAATTAGTTATTTAGTTGCACTCGATGCAAATACTGCTAACAAAGTAATTCAAACTTTGAAAAAAACAAAATAAAATCACTGCAATAGGCGAAAGGTGAAAACCTACCTTCCCTTTTCAACAAGTACCAGAATGTCTTTCTTCTCATTATTATCATTCTGGGAGGTAATACCTAAAAGGAAACAAACAAAACATGTAGCAGTAATTAGAGTTCTGGGTTTATAATTGAAAGTAATAGGTTCAGATCTTGGGTAGGACCCAAGGATACCTTATCACTTGAGTAAGGTATGAGTAAGGTATGTCACCCTTATTGTTCCAGTATAACACTGAGTTGCTTTGGATAAAAGCATCTGGCAAAAATTTCGTAATTGTAATTTTAATGCCAATACTTGGCTTATTTGAAAGAATTCTAGTAATAGAATTAAATCGGTATCGTACAACAGACATCAAATTTATTTATCACAAACATCAGTATCCACAGTGTATCTATCTTATAACCATTATATAAATATAGACAACCACCTCTAATCTAGTGAGTTTTACATTTCTGCACATGCTTTAGAATGACAAGACATTCTGTATATAAACATGTTCCAACATGATGCACAGTCTTTCAGAGTGTGTGGATTCAGTTCACTGCACGGGACTGCTTACTCAGTTCTTGCAGTCGTTTCAGGTTGACTATGTCTTCCGCAGCTCCGTCATTCCCTGGACAGATGAAAAGGTTGGATTTCTGCAATACAAAGTAGCCCTCCTTCCACTGCTCAAGGTCCAGCATTGCCTTGTAGCGAAGTCGCCCTATCCGCTCAAACTCCCTGGCCAGCAGGCAGTGACAGCTGAGTGGAGTGAAAGCCTGTAGGAAGGTAATCACCAAACCTTGTGATAATCCAAGACTTACTATTAGGAGAATGAAATCTTTTCATTTCATCCTAAAAATGAGAGCCATGTTAATATACTACTGTACACTCATGAGCTATAGACAAAATGTACAGGATTTCTGGTGGTTCACTGCCTCAGAATGCGTAGGCTGCAATGGAACAAGTAATAGGTTTATTCCATGCTGAAAAGAGAAGAAAAAAAAACACAACGTTTCGGCCGTGGAGCCTTCTTCAGGTGTGAGCTCACCCTCACAGCTGAAGAAGGCTCCACGGCCGAAACGTTGTGTTTTCTTTCTTCTCTTTTCAGAATGGAATAAACCTATTACTTGTTCATGTACAGGATTTGGAGACCAAAACAAAAAAAAATTATTACAAAGATAATTCTGGTCATTTCTATGCTTCCAATCAGCTGGAAACACTGAAACACGACCGATGGACATAATGGACATGATCCTGATCTCGTTGTAGGGTAGGTTAGGGCTGCAAAAGCAATGCTGTACCTTTCCAATGGCACTGGCCCAGCTGTGGAGGCCTTCAGCAGTTTCTAAACCAAACTGGTACAGCTTCTCGGAGGACAAGTAAAGTTCAAACGTGTATCGAAACCTGGAAACCAAGCACAAAAAAAACGTCCAAAAAATGACTCATGGCAAAAAGTTAGTGTCTCATTTTCATTATATCTGTCAAATCTTTGCTTCCTTGCGTAACTTGTGGAGCATACTCAGTCTTACAAATAAAATCACAGGGAATTGAATGATTAAGGTCAACTCCAGATTTCCATATTTACATTTATGCAGAAATCCAGATGCACTTAATTAGATTTAAGTATTTTAAGACTAAAGGCTAAACATTCATGCAATAAGGAGTATGTCAACAGATGGGATTACTTTCTTTTCTTTGATTAACACACTTTAAAAAAGCCCACCACTAAAAGCTGAACTTTATGTATTGAGGCCTGTTTTCTAAACAAAGAAAAACACGTAAAGTGAACTGCAATTAAATAATGTATGCTCTACAACTTAGATTACAATGTAGCTCCAAAGTGAGTAACAGATATTTTGCAATAATAAATAGTTGTGATGTGTAAATATAACGGTATGTGAAGCAGAAAAGAGGCATATTTTGCATTGAGACAAAAACTATTATAAGAAATCTTTGACATTGATGTCTAAGGCTGCAACCCATACCTATCTATAAATCCAGTGCTATTGGATGAGTCTGGCCTGCTGACTCCTAAACAGATAATATCCTTAACGTCGATCTTCATGCTTGGATCATGGTTTCTGTCAGACTCATAAAACAGGAGTGACCGTTCCACTGAGCACCAGTACTTCTGGAAATCTGTGGACCCAAGACCATTTATTCACAAGAAGAATGCACACAAATCAGATACAAATATTTGTAACTTATAAAAATATATATTTATAAAAAACTAACACTTAAATTGTGTGAATGCCAGAAATAATAAAAATTTATTCGTACATTAGTGCTGCATTGACCTCTAAAACACACTTTTTAAAACCAAAAACAAGAAACAAAGAAAATACTAACTTTCAGTTACTTTGTTTTGCTTTCTTTCTATTAGGTAAATAAATGGTCTGCCACTGAAAAAACCCTATTTTTTGTTAGTGTGCAGATAAAAAATGCAACATAAACAGTACATTTTCATTACTATAGGACTATATAACATTAATATATACAATAATACATCCAAACAAACATGGATCATATAGAAATGTGCTCATGTACAGCAAGAAAGGTTAGCAATGTTTTGGTATACCTTATAAATCCCTTAGCACTATGATCTTACGATGATGGCCAGTTCAAAATTGGCCTACCTTCTCTGGTTTTCCTGGATAATGTTCCTTTGGTTAATGCTGAAGACTTGTAGATGTACCCAGAATACATGACTGGTTGCATTATTTCATCATAAACACTCTGTGACCCATCTGAGAAACTGAAATCTGCAGGAAACAATATTAAAGGAAAGTAATTGAAATAGTAACATACTGAAAGGATTCTTTACTTATTTGGATTGTGATCTCAATGTGATTAATTTAGAAGTTTCACAGATATATTAAGTTATTTCTGCATTATTGGAAAGTAATGTAAAATGCCATACTCAAGGACAATACTCAAGACATTTTAACTCTACTTTCTGCTTATTGAAAACTGTACAAAGCCACAAAAACATTTTGTGTTTCTGTCCGATCCCTCCTTCGACAGCCATCTCAGAGATTCATCTTTCTTAATGAGGCAAGAGAAGGCTAAATGCTCAAGTGACTGTATAAAAAGAAACGATTCACAGAATTGGAGGTAAAAATAAATCATTACCTGAGTTCCTGTGTTTCTGACAAACAAAGCATAGCTGCAAACTTCTCATTTTCCTGTTCTCGAAAAGGCTTGAAATATTTAGAGCAAGCTCTCTGGCTGACATCTAACATTCTTTCCCTCTTTCTCTCGTTTTGTACATTCTCTTCTCTTACAAAGGCACTCATTCATCAGTTGAAATAAGGCTATGGCTACGCATTCTAAAGTGTGGGTAGTCTACAAAACAATTCTGGTTCAGCACAGCTATGATATCTTCTTCAAAAAGCTCAGGACCCCAGTGGACCCTTTCAATTGATTATAAACCACTGAATCCAAATCTGCCTTGTTCTAGATGACGGATATCAGACTGCTCAGAAATATCCTTATTTATTTTCTCTCTTGACAACATAGTAAGCCACTTTTTCAAAACAGGCATAAATATTGTTCATGCTTAAAAAGCTGTAATGAACAGCTAATAATGACACCTTTACCTTTTTGTCCTATTTTTTCACTGTTGCCTTCTTAAACGCACAGTGCAGTAGTTATTTATAATTAATGAGTTCCACACACAAACAGGATTATTTTCTAAACTTTTTGAAGTATTTTGAAGTCTTTTCAGCTTTTCTGGAAGTAAACTGATAATGTACAAAACGAAACATGCAATGTTTATGGTTATGCAATACTGATGACATGCACAATTCTGACGAAGTAAAAGCATGAGCTGGCGATTGAGATATCTAGAGATGTTCATACCTGAAGTAGTGTGGGAGTGGGAGTCAAAGGTGCTCTTATGATGAGGGGAATGACATTTGTCATAGCCATTAGTGTCTGATAAATGAGCTGCTTCTGCTTCAGAGAAGATGTACAAGACTGTTTTCAGGAGATTCTGCTCTGCCACTGCTGAGCACAGGGCCTGGGGAGAACAAAAACAAGTGCTGGCTAAATCTAAAACAAGAGACTACAGACTTTTGTTTAATACTGAATGTTTATGATTACATGATAATCTATGAATCTGACATACAGTACTAACCTGTAACTAGTTATAGATCAAACCATCACTTTAATAGAAACGGACTGCTCTAGGTCTAGGTATTAAACCACATAGTTTAATGGCAATAAAACAAAACTATAAATAGGGGTGTATGTGAAAATGTTGTTTTTTGGTTCTTCACCTTTAGCAGCTCTTCCTGTGTGCTGAAGCTGGGATGCATGCGGCGGTATTTTCCCTCGCGGTACTTCAGGGTGATGAATTCGCGTCGTTGTTCCGGTGTTGCGTCGCAGTCCAGCTCTTCTGCCGGGGGGAGCCGAGCTGCCCAAAACTCATTGGCTTTGTCGTTCCCCAGCATGATGAAAAGCTGTGACAATTCAAACAAAACCGAAAACTAAAAGTGTCAAAAAACTAACCATAAACCCCAATTATCATAAAGAATTTTTACTATCGTCTCTTAATTTGGATGAAAGGTGCTTGGTTAAAAAGGTGTTAAAAACAATGTCATTAATAGAATCATGTACAAAATATTATGGCTTGTTCTGCATACTCAACCAATCTTAATTTGCTATGTTTATTTGCTCACCTGCACTATTTCATTGCTCCACACGCTGGTATCCAGTTTCAGGCTCTGCACTTTTGAAACCGTTGTGCCCAGACCTCTGTGTTGACCTTAAGATAAAAAAAAAGACTTACATTTTGCTGAAGTAAATAGAAAAGTAGAACAAATAATCACAAACTGAAACCAAATTCATCACAGAACAATTAAGAAAGCTGAGACGTTCTCTATGAACTACTCTAAGCATAGAGAGGCCTTCATTCACACTAGGGTTAAACGGGCTGTAAGCGGAGACCCACCAGCGCAGTTCTTGCAGATAACCACACACAGATTGATGGACGCCCAGTCAGGGTTGACGGCCTTGCAGTCAGCACAGATCTTGTTGTATCTGTTGGACCAGATTTTCTCGGCCACTTCATAATCAGAGAGGGTCTCAGCAATAGACTCCTGCAGCGCCTCCATCCACTCTTTCTTCTCTCTCTCGCACTCTGCTGTGAAGCTGTTGGGAGATGCTGTGTCAGGACACAAACCTACTGACACCACGCCAGTCAGTTTCACTTCTGGTCATACATCTGGCCCTTTTCGTCCAATTTTCTAAAAAATGTGAATCTTATGAATCAGCACTTTTCTCCGTAACCTCTGCCTCAGATCTTCAGATATATTGACTGACAAGCACCTTGGTGTGTGTTTGTACTTGCAGCAGAAGAAAGAAAAATCAGAAAAATTAAAAGTACTGTCTATATCCCATAGTAAAATTCCATTTTGAACCAGGAACAGTCTTTCTAACACCGCATTCTTATATCCTGCAGCTACTAGATATTACCTGAATATTTTGTGTGGAGTTATCAACTCAAAGGTTTTGCTCTTGTTGTCTCGGATTGTGGAGCCCCGAACATCGATTAAAGTAATCCCAATTCCATTTTTAAAACACTTGAAGGAAAAAAATGGAAAATGATACAAATTATTGTTTTTAAACCAGGCATTTTTACATACTGTAATATTTTCAGGTTCGGCAAGGACTGACACAGTGATTCAGACTCTTGTTGAATGAAAAACGGCGCATTTATTTTTCGGACGAGCGTCCAGCACAACAAGCACAACCATAGCGCCCGCGCGCGAGCAGAGAGAGAGGGGAGAGAGAGAAAGAGAGAGAGAACACACCAGTGCCAGAAGAAGAGAGAGAGTGCAAGACACTAGGGTCTTTTTGGGTAGTTACACAGGGCTAGGGTGGCAATTGGGTACAAGTATAAAAGGGGTGCTTAACCAGGGAACTATTTATACAAACCCGGGCGATCTCACCACTCTGTACACCCGTTTTGCAATGGGTCAGCTGCACTGGTCAGTGGCCTTCCTAGTCCCTGCCCTGACCACTACTACTCCTGTCCTGCCCCTCGCCTCATACCCCAGCTGGGCACTCTTAGGGCGCAGCGCCAGGCGAATGCGCTACTCTACATTTGCTAGCTGTGATATTTCTCTTTACCAGAGATTTCTGGTCTCCAAAAATCCAAAGCCTCACGGATTATTGTGTAAATTGGGGCAAAACAGCAAACTTCTTTAAACAAGTTAACACTCTGAGAGTGTAATGAATAAAAACAGCTGCCTTTATCAAAACCCCACTGCACGTTTCCAAATATCATATACTGAGTTCTTGCATGAATAGTAAAACATTGATAGTGTTGACCTTTTCTGGGTTCAAAAACACAAGTAAATTACTTTTGTATTGTTTCATCTGGAGACTTGTTTGATAAAAATACACTGCTTTAGTATGAGTGATTGTCACGCCCTTTCAAAAGATTGTAAAATAACTGAGGCAGTCTTTTTCGGAATGATACTATGTGTTTTCACCCATTTTTAAAGCCTTCTAACATGCAAAGTCTTTGAAGACAGTGAAGTGAAGAAGACGGTTGCTGTGAAGCAAGACACAAGCGGTCTGCATTATCAGTTCTTCTCATCTAACATGTTTGCTTCCTGCCTTGTAATCAGCCTGTATCTTTTAAAATCAACTGTTTTGAAATATCTTTGATTAAACCAAGAAAACTATGCCTCCCATACAACACAACTAATCCCATGGCAACTGATATCATTTAAAAAATACAAACAAGAATATTTCAGTTTTCCTGCCATCAAATGCATTTCACAAACCAAGAGAGATGCACTTTAATTTTTTGGTTCAGCATTTAACTAGTGAATTGGTCTTGCAATTGCAAAGCACTGCATTTCGGTTTGGCTCTAGATGAACTGTAGCTGGACTCACCTGCTCATTTTTGTGCAGCCACACTTGGTCAGTGTTGATGGCTACGTATATTTTGGACTTGGTTCCTTTCAGCTCCAGATAACCACTCTTTTGGCAATGACTGCCGGGGCCAAACCTGTGCCTGGATGTCACTTGCTGATCCTTAACTCTGTTCTGTAGTGTACGACACCAGTCATATCGCAGACCTGCAGAGAAAAAAGAATCTTTGTCTTTCTGACGCATTACTCCTGCAAACCAATCCCACCTTGCTTACTGAAACCTCACCCTAGATGTACATATTATATACTAAATAGGCTTAATGGCAGGTTTTCTTCCCAATCAAATTCTGTGTAATTAGATCTGAGAACTACACACACACTGCAGAGCACTTTGAGCTCTAAGTACAAAAGGAGATTCAGTTACCTTCATTTTCGGCACGAAAGACAAATGTCCTTTGGCTTGTGACAATTTCAAATTTATTATCCTTGGCTGTGCGTGCCATTTGAATAGCTGCCAAAGGGATCACACCCTTTGGGTAAACATCCTAGTGAAGAAAACACAGATACAGTAAAAAATACTGCTTGTAAACTGTGTTCATTCTGAACTACGACTTGTAAATATTTGTGTAAAGAAGGGAAGAATTTACAAACAGTAGTCATCCAATTGTGTGTTTACATCTCGCTATATTTTACTTATAAATAAAAAGTAGGTGTGGTTTGGGAATAAGAGTTATAGAAAAATAACTAAAGCATCTATTTTTATACTACACCAAATGGCTACAATCCTGTACTCTTTTCCTAAGTTTTCTTTAAGTGCATTTTATCTTAACAACAAATAAAAACACGTATTTGACAGAAATTCCCATTACAAAAACAAAAGGTGTGGTATCTATTTCTCATGGAAGGAGAAATTGAAATGTGTTGACCATTCCAATAATATGAAGCACTCATGTTTATTTGCACAAGGGGTCAAAAGGTCAAGAGAGCTTATCAAGACCTCAACATGTCTGGCACTGCGATATGGCGGGAATCAAAATGATAAACACTTCACAACACCTTCTCACTGCTGAAATACATCAGGTTCTTGCCATCAAACTTCACAAAGCGCTTCTGGAAAACATAGTTCCTGGCAGAATAAAAACAAGAAAACTCTGAGCATACGTATTAGCCAGGAAGCACAACTATTTAACTACATACGGTACTTAGCACTGTTGTATGCCACACTCTGGTTTTAAATTAAATGTGTCTAAGTTTGGGATTTTGTTCAGACCATTTACAATTTCTCAAGAATCTAAGAAAGTTGTACAGGCTAACTGTGATATCACTTTTGATGTTTGCTATTGCTCATTTAAATGTAAAAGCAAGGTAATTCCATAAAATTGATAGTGAAAATGCTTTAAAGAAATTCTTAGCTAAAAATACATAATACCAGAAGAATACATAAAATGCAAAAGTACATAATATCAGAAAAATCGTTTTTTTTAATTGTCAGAATCACATTATATATACATAAAAAACATAAACATAAACATAAACATAAAACACATCCAACTCCTAATATAGATGCATTTGGCTTAAAATTAATCTCAGGATAGGTCTGTGTGGACATTAAGCAAATGTACTTTTTATTTCATAAACCCAAACACTTTTCATAACCCAGTTATTGGGTTTTTCAGACCTATTTTCAGACGCACATAAAGACAAATAGTTTGGAAGATACCATTTTAGAGGGAGTCTGAGGTAAATGACTGGGGATAAAACAGCCCCTGTAAAGGAGTCTCTCACCCTTGTGGGGACAGTTTGTCCAGCCAGCTGCTGATGACAGGTGCGACGTGGTCAGACAGCGAGGTGAAACTGGCGTAGGGCGAGATGGTGAGGTCCTCATTTAACTCATCGCCATACATGTCAGGGGGCAGAGAGAAGCTCCGGGTGGGGACGTGGAGTTCTCCCACGGTGGCGTAGCCCATCGAATCACTGTGCATGATTTCGGAGATCCTCTGGTCCCTGGCCAGCACACGACGCCTAGGAAAAAAAACCTACAACATTCACTTTTCAGCTCACTGTCATTTAAGAAGGAAGCCCAAGGAGTGTTTCAGTAAATGTTGCTTTTCTCAATCCACTCCATTGCCTGCTGCAGCTGCATGCTTCAGCATAACCAATGACCTGTTGTCAACATGACGTGTAAATAGGCCTGTTTCTAGAGGCTATGATAATGATGAAGGCATGTGTGTATAACCAAGCTGATCTTTGTTGGGTCTCTTTGTGGTACTGTTTCTCTAGATTTTAAATACAATCCAGTAAATAAAGCCACGTGAATGGAAATATCTTACTAGAGTGTCTTAAAACCTCAGGGTTCCTGAGGGGGAAGATGAAAGTATAATAATCAAATATCTTGATTCGATATCTTATTTTACTCTTAGAAATTAGTATTTTTACACTACCTATGGTGTCAACCTCTTCAACTGCAGTTTCACCTCTATATGATACTGTTGGGACGAGTGTGTACATATTCCATTCTTACCCAGCATCCTCTTCCTTTCCATCTTCCTCCTTTTTCAACAAACCAGTAGTTCCTTCACTTTGAGTTCTTGCAAACTGTGCGTGACAGAAATTAACTATGTTAAGACTTCACAGTTAACAGCTCTGTTAATGTCATCGATTACAAAATCTGATTTGCAAGGCTACAGAATCTATGTTATGATTTATATCTTATTCATGGAATAATCCACTTAATTCACAGTAGTGTTGTACAAAAGACCAAGTAAACATTTATTCCAGGCTGAAAAGAAAAAAGAGACACAACATTTTGGCTGTGGAGCTTTCTTCAGGTATTATACAAGAGTATCTTTGTTTTTTGAGGGACTCTAAAAGCTAAAACAGCAACATATTGATTACCTATGCACTTTCACTGTACATTTATTATTTGTTCTTTATTAACACTGCTTTATACATTGAGTTTATATCTGGCAATTGTGATTTAAAATTTAAAGTTGGAATTCTGAGATTTTAAGTTGCAATTGCGAGATATAAACTCGTAATTCTGAGATACAAAGTCGCAACTTCGAGAAACCATAGCGCATTTTTTAATCCCTGGTGGAAACAGGCTTCTATAGGCTTCTGACCCATGGTTTCTGAAAGTAACTCCAGTGCTTTTTGTACAAGAGCTCTTTAAGAATAGGGCATCCATGACATAATAGTCACATTCTCATCTTGCATGAAAAGTCATTGTTACATGAGCAGCAGGAGGATGTGTGCTTTCTTGCTGGAATGTTGTCAGGAGAGGAAGAGCCCACTGGAAAGGGCAGTGAGTGATCACCTATGATCAATGCTGGATCATAAATACAAGCTGCCATCAATCATTATAAACAGAGCGCTGTAGTGACTAAATATGCCTGCTTATACCTTCACACCTGTACTTCCCCATCTGTAAGTTTGTTGTACACTCAGAACATTATTCTTCATGTGTGAAATGCTTGTCAGCTACTCTCTGATGGGCTATACAAAATCTTGCTAAAGAGGACTTGGCTCCACCCGAGGTGATTCAACATACCAGTGGCACAGAGGCACTGCTCTCTCGACAAGAAAGACATGTTTGCTTTTTTCTGTATTTCTTTATCACCAGGTTTTACATTCCAACAGGTTAAATCACTTCATCACCTGTACTCCATCAACTCTCTCACTAATTAGGTGATTTAGTGCTTATGCAACAGTCTAAGCCACCTGAATGTTTTCACCTGAATTATCAAGCACTTGCAGCTTAATGTAAAAATACAGAAATGAAAGACCTTTCCTACTTCTCACGCAAGAACCATTTTATTCAGACAAGTCTTTCACATACTTTTATGAGTTTTTTTTCTCCCTCCGATTTCATAATCATAGTTCAGCTGTTCCTGACTCGGTACTGGCATGTTATCATCGCCTGAGGTGACGAGCGAAAGAGTAAAACCTGGATTTTTCCAGGCCAGCTTTACAACCTGACCCTGGTAAATGAAGAGACTTGTGATTTAAAGCAAAAACTGAATATCACACAGAACAAAACAAGGCGCGAGTGATGATGTAGGGAAGTCTATTACACCACAGGGGGCATCAACTTTTTTAATTGACAAAAAAGAATCCATTGCCAAAGGCAAAAATAACAGGGCAACAAATCATTGATACTCACAAACATGAGAAAAAACTAAAATTGAAATTTCAAAACTGAAATAATTAAATCTAACAAGCAAACAAAAAATTTAAAATATAAAAGTGAAATAATTAACTTTACTGTTACAGTCTGTGCCAGTCTTAATTGTGGTTTGCTTTGTCTGACAAAGCACTGAAAAGCATAACATTTTTAAAAGATAAAACTGAAATAATGAACTTTACTAGATCTGTTACAGTCTGTGCCAGTCTTAATTGTGGATTTGGTTTGCTTTGTCTGACAAAGCACTGATAAAAAAAAACTCTCACCTTCACTTCCTGATTGGGCCTTTTACTCTGAAGTACAGTTTCACAGTAAGGGCTGATCACTTCCTCCTGGAGAACTGCAGAAAAGAAGGAAGCAGCACATATTTATACATCAGCTACAAAAACGCAAGGCTTTGGCCACATTTTTCAAAGGTTACTGTAACAAAGGAATGCCCACAAGTTTCAGATACATCGAAAAGAGTGTGAGAGTGAAAGATAGGTACTTTTCAGTTCTACGGTATTGATATGCGATTGTAAGGTTTTCTGTGAAATAGATCACTTTCTCAAAGTCACAGCTAACTACCACTCTTTACTCTGAGACAGACTATTCTGTCACACATACAGCCTACATCTGTATTATTATTACTGACTCATCTGAGGCTAAATAAATAACAGTGGGTATTGTGTACAGAAATTGATATGAACATGATTTTTTATATGAGCTAGACAGGATATTTATACAATGTCAATATGAACAATGAAAACAAACATATGCACGGGGGAAAAGTGAGAATAGTTCTTATTTAGCAATTACAGAAAAGTGGTTGTTAATAGGCAGTCAATGCTCTCACCAAATATTTTATTATAACTGAAATGACTTACCAAGGCCTCTCTTGTTGGGCTCAACAAAGCTAGTCTTTAAAGTGCTGCAAAAACAAGAGAAACCAAAAATGTTCAGTATAATGCACTGTGTACAGTTCATAAATAATATAAGCTCTATTTTCATAAAGAATGCAGGGCTTTACTGCAGAAATTATCAGTTTAAAAATAGTGTTACCTTGCCTAATTCAATTTATTTTTTAGTCAATATATACTTTAAAGCCACTACAAACAAACAGTATATTAGTTGAAACAAAAAACAATATTACAATTAAAATCCCAGACACTGGTAACTTCTTCTCCCTTTTGAGAAAAAGTGACAAGGCCAATGTTCTTCCTTCCTCGTGCTGCAGAACTGACTTCTATGTTCAAGGATAGCCTCACTGCAATGCTCTCACTCTGTTGTCAGTCTAGTTTACACCACTGTGCCACTGAAAGCACATTTCAGATCTTCCGCTTCGTGCAAACCTTTAATGAAGTTGCACTCTTACATTTCTACATCAAAATTGATTAATCGATTATTATCATCATGCTCTACTAATTTCTAGCTCCTGGCATCAACTGAACAAATAATGTGAAGACACTAATGTATGCTGAATTTCAAAATTGCTTTTGAAAATAGTATGAAATAAAATATATTTGCTAATATATTTGCTATATTTGACAATAGAAAACGGTCTTCAAAATACAGAAAACACATGACGTAGCCCAGCGGATGTTTGAAGACGGAACAAATGTCCATCGGTATTTCAATGTTGGCTTCTCTTTCCACTTATCTAAAAACATTATAACCTTGTTATTTTGTTTAAAGTTACTTTTCTGTAACTTTATAACATTATTGTATATACTATAACAGAGTTATTTACTGCAGATGAATAAATCCAAAAGCATAAAAGTATGGTGTTCAATATGGTCTTTAAAAACATTTAGAAAATCCTCTGTTGATCAATAGTGAATGAAGAATCTCAAGCTGAACTGATGAGCTTATTATAGTTTAATGTGTGACCTGATAGCAAAAGCTTGTCCCCACTGCAGCAGACATTTTACAGTCAGTAATTACCACAGGGTGGATGTTAAAAAGAGGTCACATATACACCCTCATATTTTCATGTTAAAGTTTACTGTTGGATACCACATCAATAAACAGACTAATTTTTAATGTATTCTTGCTGATGCCAGTATAATTGCTGCTGACTCCAATCAGCCCTATTATCTTTCACTTGAGAAGTAAATGGAGCTCTCTCTTTTTGTTATATATACCATAACAACGAGTTACAAAATAAGCTTTCAAAGTACTTATAAAATCATTTACAACAATGACAGATACCTGCTTCCAAGAAAAGGGTTTACAAAGCCTTAAGTGCATCTAATTAATGTTCCTGAACACCTTGGTGCCCATACATTAATTCCAGATATAAAAGCACATACTTCATACTGTACTTGATATACTGTGTAAAGCTGAACCATCTATGTTTATAAAAAAGGAGGCAGTAACACCCATCTTTGTGCAGTGCTATATACTACGCTATTAATCATTTTACCAGTTATACTCCAGTGATGAATATTCACTGCTACATCCAACTACATATTTTATCAATTCCAACCCAGCAATAAATTACTTACATTAAGAAAATGACAATTCAATAACACTGGCCGTTTTCTCCATTTGATTTTACACCGACAAGTAGCTTAGTGAATGAGAAGACTTCACTGGATTGAACGCTAGTCTTGCAAATGTACCCTTACAGTTTTAGTAGATACATGACAAGTGTATTATATTTCATGCTTTATACAGCTGACTTCACTAAAAAACTCAATATAACAAAAATAATCACTTTATGCCATTATGCCAGGAAACGTACATATGTGAGCTTCTTTATATGAAGATGGGTTACAAAGCATCAAAAACACAAGTGCTGCTGCTGCTTCGTGTGTAGTTTCTGGTGATTGTCCTTGACTGTGTCGCTTTCCCAGACACCCACACTTCCTGCAATCTGAGCAGCCCAGTAACAACAAAAAGAAAAAAAACCTAGAACTAATAACTCTTTGGTACCTGAGGACAGGATCACACAAACTTCACTTCTGCTCAAATTAATTGTTAAAAACCGAGCACTTCATAGCACACTTAATTTTTGGGCGGACAGAAGGCTGGAAGAAAAACCATTATACAGGAGGTCTATTTAGGCTCTACGAATTCTACAGTTTAACAAAGAACAGCTTCCTTTACTTTTGGTCTGCCTCATCAAGAAAATGAACAGTTAAGAGCGTGATGTAACTTACATTCCACTCTACAGTAATATAGTTAAACATCTAAAACAGTGTATATACATATTTATGTATCCTCGAAAGCTCTATACTAACACTATAATAATCAAATGATGTGTTGCGTTGGGAAGAAACGCGCTAACGCCTCTTTAAATGATGTGGCTCACTTTTTCTCTTATTTCACAGTAAAGAAAGCAAACAAATTAGAATGAATCCATCTGCCAAAATCAATGCAAATACATAATGCTTAACAAAGTATCCTCCCATGCAAAAACTGCAGGTTTCAGATATTTTAGCTTCTTAATGAAAAGCAAAACCCATTACCATAAAATCAAAATGGGAGAGAATGGTAACATTGTCCCGAGACAGCTAAGTTTACATCTAATTGCTACACTTGCAATGTTAAAATTAATTTCATAAATGTTTTACTGTTTTAAATGGGTGCAGCCTATACCTTTCATTTGTGTTCACTGGTAATGCTTGCTTTTCCTTGAGACATTGTTTTGAGACAAAATAAATGATACAGAACCAAATCACCATGCTTTTGGTGAAACCGTATTCAAAGAGATCTTTAGTAAATCACAACTAAAATATTCCAGGCACAAAAATATAGCCTACCTGTTTTTTTCCGGGGATGGGCTTAAATCTTGCCGAGACGGGGGAAGTGGGACAGGTCTATTCCGAAGTCCCTCGCATGCATTCGATGGGGTGCCAGGTAAAGTGCCACAATAAATATCGTTGGATACCATCTCAATACTAGAGTGAGGGGAACTGGGTGGAGACAGCATAGGCACTATGGAGAATGACTCCTCATCATGGCTGCAGGGGGAGACAGGGGATGATGAAAGGGGACTTATGAGCTGGTTGCTCTCTGCTCTTCCTGGAGAGCCAGGGCTTGTGAAACTGGCTGGGGGAATTCCACGGTGCATTCTTGGAGGAACTGGGGGTAGATTCCCAGGAGTTTTAGCGAGGGATTCCAGTGAGTTTGAGTGGCTTAACCTCCTCTCAGGTGTCCTCACGCACTCCCTTTGCTCAAGACCAAGGCCTTCTGCATCAGTATTGGACTCTCCTGGACTAAAGCCTTGTAATAACACAATACAATTCAAACTGCAGTCCTGAGAAGACTCTTTTGAAAGGTTTCGTTCCTGAGGTTCTGATTTTGGACAGGATGCCTGTTGCTCGGTCTTAGGTCTGCTGAACACCGTCCTGGGTTTAGGTATCGGTTTTACCAAAACATCTTCGCTAACCTTGGAATCTTCAATAATAGTGGGAATGTTTGGGACAGATTTGTTCCTAATGAGCTCAGAAGTATTGGAAAAACTCTCAGAAGGAGAATCAGGCCCTAGGTCTTGTGGCAAAGCCTGGTTTATAGCAGATTCTGACCATGATCTGTCCAATGTTGACTCCTTGCTTTGTAATCGTGCTGTTTGCTGTATCTGCTCAGCGAGTTTCAAAATGCGTTTCCTGTGGCCTGTAGCTGTTACTCCAATTTGGATGAGTGTTTCATTGTCAAGGTGGTAGAAATCATTTGCCTTTTGGAAGCCGAATTGTCGGAAGCTATCCATGTACTTTTCAAGATGAATGGAAGCAAGCAGCTTCCCAATATCTGAGCAGTCACCGCAAGGTGTTGCCATGGTGAGTCGGGCCTTCAGTTTCAGCCAGTTACCGATACAGTGTCCAATACTGGCCACAAAAGTTGAAATCGCACCACTCCTTCATCTGAAATGATAAAAAAGATAACATTTTGAGAGTTACTGGATACACAAGTACAAAGGTTGAAACCAAAAATAATCTCTTAAAAGGTCATTTTAGAAAACTGCTGTTATACTGTATGTATCAAATGAATAAATATATGACTTTTCTATTCTGGCTACTTAATTGTATCAAATTATGTCACTAATTCTGACAGTGTTCCTCTTCATACAATTCTGATGATTGAAAAGAGTGCAGCGACAAATACATCTTTTCTGGTGCTCATGAAAGCCCCTGTATTTTAGAAGTTCAGATTATGTCACTGTGACCTTTCAAGACGAAGGGTCAGGGCCTTCCCTCTGCATCATAAAATCACTTGGAACAAAGACTGGGGTCGTTTATCTGACAAAGACTCCTTGTTTTTCCTTTTAAAATCCTTGTTAGGTGCCTGCAAGAGTACAGGGACTATGAAAAAAACACCTATCCAGTAGCAAGAAAATAAGCAGGAAGTTCTCTTCTGTAAAACTTTAAAGACTTTGGACTTAAAACTACACAATATAAACCACGTAATGAGGCTGTAATGTTTATCGAAGTATGTTCAAAGGATGTGCAATCTCTTCGATTAAATAAACTTACTCTACAAACAGAATTACTGTACAGAATTGAGCAAAGATTCCCTAATTTTCTGCATGTAGTAATTATGGTATTAGTGAAAAGGTAAAATAGCTTCTTAGACTTGTTTTAAGGTTTTTAGCTCTACTTAAAAAGATAAGAATGAATTACTTCTCATATATATTTATTTTGTTAATATATTACCACACATGATTCTGCTGGGTGCTGTGTAGTTTTGGTAAGAGAATTCCAGTGTACTTTACTAGCACATATTTTTAAGAACCTAAATCTTCAAATAAGTTTTTAACAGCAAGTGTAAGTGGATGCCAAATTTCTCAACTCTTCTATCCCCACTTGGCAACACAATTTCATAACTAACCTCAGTTTACATCATAAACTGTGTAAAAGTTAGATATTACAAGACAGATATTACTGCTGCTCATGCCTTGCTGAGCACTTCACTAATATGACTTTCCTACCAAAAACAAATCATGATTCAATATAGGTGGCCATATATTTAGTTGCAATGACACTGTGCAGTATCTCAAACTATTAATAAGCATATATGTATCGATTTCCTCTGCTCACTTTTTTGTTATCCTTGATGTTTTACTACTGAATATACAGTATTCAGTTTTACTATTGAATATGTAGCCCATTTTATTTTTATACTCATACTCACTGTACTCATTAAACTCATTGCACCCAAGCAATGTACAATGAACAAATACTTTTTCAAAATAGGATAAAGCAGTTATGCAGGTAAATCATGCAAAATGGCATATTCTTGTATAAAATCACTTCTAAGTAACTTGTATAAAATCTACGAAACCGCCCTATGTATTTTGTAAGATAACTTTCTTTATAAAACTGTAACTGTTTAAAGTCCAGATGACTTAAAGTAATACATCCTTAAACACTTAACAAAGATAAGTCTCTGGTTTCTAAGTGGGTTAGTAACAACACAGTGGTTGGAAAGATGCCACTTTTAAACACATCTTTTACAAACCACAAAACCACAGAAGATGTTCCATTTTTTATTTTCAAATTTGACTCCTACACATCATCCGGAGTGGGGACAAATGAATACTAAGGTGACAAAACTTTAAAACACATTGCAGAATCTTCAAAATTATAAGAAGGGTTGCTTAATAAGGTGGCACTACATTTTACACACTGAAAAATTAACGTACTGTAAGAGTGTCACTCTCATCTTACACACCTTGTAAAGGGGATAAAGGGATTAAAGGGATACTGGATCATTGTTCTGTTGCTAAAAAAACAACCAAAGTGTCTGCAAAAAACAGTTACACCTCATGTTAACAAAAGGCATCTCATAAAAATATATATTATCAATCTTATAAAAAATTACACCTATCAATTAATATCCAGTTGTATGGACTGTAGATCATTGCACATTATTAAATGAGCTGTATCAATATAACTAAATATTAAAGCTAAGCACTACATGTATTTAGAAGCATTGCATTTCCTGTGCTGGCAATTTTATAATTCAGGTTAATAAAAAATATATACTGTATAGTCTTGAAAGGATACATTCAACTTGCTCCTGCCTTACACGTGGTGTTACTCTAAAGGGTGTTGAGCTCCAAACATCCTTTCCTCTTACTCACTGTACACACAGTATACAAGAAAACCTACTTCAAGTAAAAAAAAATGCCACTGTAATATATTATGCAGAGTGAGGAAAGAAGCTGATTTATTAGAGCGCTTAAGGTGTTCAAAAGCTTGAGAGTGAAGTACAAGCAAAATGATTTTTTTCCCTAGAGTTCATGACGATGTGCTATTTTTTTTTAATGAGAGGAATGTTCTTATTATAAGATATTGCAAATTTATTATAAAGAAAACTGAGCAATTTCTCACAACATCTTTTCTTCTGTTTTTGTTTTCTTCCAGACAGTAATAAAGGCTTCCCATGTTATCTAACCATTGTAAATAAGAACTGACAAGGGCAGCCACAGACACAGGGGGCTGTTTACAGACATCTGATATCCCGCCAAGACAAATAATTAGTATCTCTGTGCTAATTTCAAACTCAGCCCTGGGACTTTTAATTACAAGTGACACACACCAAAAGAAAAAAAGTACTGAAAAAGAAACACCTTTTAAATGTTATGATATACTGTTCCACTATATAATGTACATTAAAAAGGCTCCACGGACGAAACATTGTGCTTTCTTTCTTCTCTTTTCAGCATGGTATAAACCTATTACTTGTTCCTTTGCAGCCTATGCATGCTCTCCCAGCTACCCACCTGAATTAATATAATCTTTATGACTCTTTCAGATCTAGTGTACACATGAAGCTAAATGTTGCATTCTAATTCTTAGAAGGCCAACTTCCAACTTTCCATCTTGAAAAAAGGTTGCTTCACTGACTTTCTAGAACCCCATCAATATATATGTAAAGTTCACAATTATTGAAGAGGATATTAGATTCACATTTACACCTCACTGCTTTTCAGGGACTGGTGTTTGATAAAGCACCTAGATCTGCTGCTTTAGGCTTTTGTATACAATGCCTTAAGGGAGAGCTTTAAAACTGAAGAGGATAGAGAAAAGTTAAGGAAACAAATGTTTTTTTTTCCATATATTTATATAAAACAGACAATAAAATAATTATTGATGATTATGGTATCATGTTAATTATGAACTTGCAATATAACAAGTGTGCTACAGAGCAGTTACAGACCTGCAAGAATGATGGAGTGAACATTGGAAAAGCCAAAAGCTAAAGGCTTCCTGCAAAGTTTTCCCTGACTCTGCAGTGTCCCATTGGGCAACAGAGCTTGAGAACATAGCAGTGCTAAAACTCTCAAGGCCGACTGTGGCTCTCAGCCAACATCTCTAAGAACAAGGCTGGTACTTCTCTCATCATATTTTTAGAATAATTTAAAATTTCTGCACGGTGAGCTGAAATCTTCCTTTATAATTCCATATTACTGTGCATGTGAGTTTTGTAACTAAAATAGATTAAATGCTAAGAAACTACGAGCAAAGAGCTAATGTACTTTAGTTATAGAGGAACACTATAAAAAGAAGGTAGGGAGTATTTCTTAAAATAAAGAGGTAAGCACAGCTTCATATTAATTAATGCATTATAGTTTTTGAAGCACTAGGCTCTTACAGAGCTGGATGATTCTGGCCATCACAAAATTTTCCTTTAAATGTTATCTGCAGGCTTTTGAGATAAAAAATAAATTTGGGAATGCTGAAAAGCACTGAGGTGTTCAGTTAGTATCATATGGACTGAAAAAATCGGAAGCCATTTAATTGAGATATGATTGACACCTTCAGAATTTACATATTTTTACATCAATCAGATGCACTAATGACAGGCAACCTAAAAGGCTTAGTAACTATTTTCAGGCTTAAACTGTTTGCGATTGTAACTGCAAGGCAAATGAAAAAGCACATTATCCAAAACAGCCACTTTTTTATATTTTCACATTCATCAGGTAAAAGCCATGGGTATCAAGCAGAAATATGAGTACATGGTAACACACTTTTAAAGGTAAAGGAATCTGAGACTAGCATGTGGTTTCATTGCTGGTTTCTGTTAAAATTGGGTTCCTGTTAATCTTAAAGTGCAGTCACTATGTGCACTAAATAGCAGTAGTGGTTCTGGTCATTACGTGCAAAGTTACGTTCAAAAACTCTTTCCGTCTTACTTGGTTGGGATGTTACAGCATGCCTGTGCAACATCGATGACTTCACCATAAGCACTCTTCCCTGTACAGCAGTAGCGTTCTGTGGGAAAATCGCCATTGTGTACATGATTAAAGGGGAGTGAGTCATACCCTGTCTCAGAGCTGACAGGTAACCTTTGGCTCCTGCATGCTGATACACCAGATTTATGGGGAGCTTAAAGGAGGAGACACATGAGTTCAACTGACAGAATGAAGTATAAGAGAGGCAAATCGAAAGGGAGGACATTCGAAAATTATCTCTGGATAACTTATCTATGACCTTCTAGCTGAAAAGCACTGTTTACCTAACATACTATAAGAAAACAGAATGTCTTAGAAATAGAAATGTCAAAAACTGAAAGAATACTTTGTATGAACACACACAGTCAAGATGATTTAATCTCAGCATATGAATGCAGCCAGTACTGTAACTGTATTCGTTCCTACATAATAATGTTAAAATAATGACAATAATAATAGGCCTACCCTTTTTACAAAGTACTTTGTGAGCACATCTACATTTGTACATGCGACTCTGTGCTTTTATAATACTTCCTGATAAACAGAGAGCTGGTATAACTGAGAAACGTCTCAAGTCAAAGATAATATCTGACTTTTAAAACGAGCTGTGACTTGCAGTTCAGAATACTAGAAATGCAACATCTAACTGATGAACTGCATACCTACAAACACAAGCTTAGTAAC